TTCGCTTTTTACGACGACTCTGAGTGAAAGAAAATTTTCCAATTTGCGCTCGTCCATAAATTTTCGCAAACGGCAGTAAAGTAGAGCAGGCCGAGACTGTAAACAATAAGTGGGCATGCAACGGCACCGACGATAACTAAAAGAGAAGCACGGCGACGAAATGGACGCTCCGTTAGAAGGAGGTTGGGGCCGCGTCCTTTGGTTTTACGATCGTTTCGCGATGTTGATGGCCCAGTTGCCCGTTTCGTGATTCCTACGAGATGAACACACCTCCTGTCTGGTGCCACGGGAATCGTAAAATCGAGAAAACCTTAGAATGGAGCGATACGTGTACCGGGTGTTACCAAAACGGGGGACCATTATTGTTCGAGCGACAGATTAATATATAAAACGAACAGAAGTTTCTTCATCTTGGCACAGTACCTTTTTATACCTGCTTGATTAAATTTCTGATGAATCGTGTGAAATTTATGCCCGTACTTTTTGCAACACCCTGTACTGCTTTCTCTGACCGGCGCTAAAAAGAGAAACCTGGGAAATGCATACGAGGTCACCGGTGTAAAAACGTGGTTAACATGAAAAGCAAATATTTATCGATCCCACTTTAATATTAATATTGACTTTTTTAGGGAGTGCTAAAGGAAGTCGAAGAACAAGTATATTCTCGAGTGTAATTATACGTGAATATTCGACGGACTTTCGTTTTCAGTTGTACCTAGTTTGAAATTTCAACCGATTAATATTTGAGTTTCCAGTAATTTCGCGATCATTCTCGATTTTCGAACCGTTCTCTCTTATCTACGTTATTTGTAGCCACGGTGCGACATTAATTCGCGAACTGATAACACTCGCGCCGCCTGTCCCAATTATTTATCCCCGTTCAAACAGAGTTCCGTTTTTATCGTCGTCTCTGTGTCGTGACTGAGGCTCCGTGGGTTATCATCAGCCACTGGGACTGTTATTCTTAACAAATAATCCATGACACAGCCCCCCTCCCTGGTTCACAGTTCCTTTCACGATAATTACGAAGAAATGCAAGTCATATATCGTCCCGCGGTGCACTTTCACCGAAACCCTAGCTTGTCTGTTGGGTCCCTTCAAAGAGAAGTCACAAATCATACGGATCTAGACGAGTAACAGGTTTTATTTAAATTCTGAATGGAATTGGTCAGCCCCATTCAGGAGCACGTTGTACAAACGTGTCGATTAAAAAGACCCCACGTCTTTCAAGACAAAGCCTTTCTGTTATCTCTATACAACCATAATCAGTGAAACCATTCGAAGTTAGTCCATCCCGAAGAATCAGCTGAAAGTTCCTGTCGACTTTTCCTTTCAGTTCCATAACAGACGCGCGTCCAAGGTCTTGGAGTAGGGAAAATATACCTTCGGGCAAGATCGACCGATCTAACGCAAAATGATCCGCACAGGGGCACAACAACGTGTTATGTGCCGTCTGGTTTCATTTCACATCTGCGGGACTCACGGTCTAGCAAGTTTCGCTTCGGTCGCTGACCCTTCTTTCTCCCTCGATCCCTCACGCTGCCTCTGACTCTCTCTATTTCTTTGATCCTGCTTCCGTTCTGTCCTTCTTGGAGCGCATTCGTCTTGTCCCCGACGCCAGTTCTTGCGACCACATTCGATCTAATCCACGTTTCGCGATTTTTCGTCTCTTCTAGTCCCCTGGACACATTGGACATCCTCGTTCGATCAAAAGAGAGACGAAGAAATAAGAGGACGAAAAGTTAATTATATCCTCGAGCTAAAGTACCTCGACATTTATCGAACATTTCACAACGCCTGAATTTCTCGTATCTCGAGTGTCGCGCGCAATAAACTCTGTTTATTGGCGCGCATATTAAATCCCCGTACACGTTAGCTACGTTCGTTTCCGAGTAGAATGACAGGCGTGCCTGTTAACATTTCTGGTTTCAATGTAATACCCTCCAGTTTGATCCACCGGTGGAGTGTGTCTACTAACGATTCTTGGTAATTAATATGTCTAGAAATTTCAACGAAACTGTCCGTAATAATCGGTCAACCATAAAAAGATAGTGGTGGAAAGTTTCGTACCACTTCGTAATGACAAGTTTAGATTCTTTTCCATCTCTTAGTTCCTTGGACAAATGGGAAAAGAAGACACCCAGGTGTTGGAGGACAATTTAGCCAAGGTAGTACAGGTTTAACGGTGAAACGGATAAGACGGGAGCCCCTTGATTCCTTAAACGATGACGAAACACCGGGAATCTTCACCCTGCGTGCGGACGGTCACGATCAGGAATGTCCTTTTCGAGTTGTCATTCGCGTGCCTGCGATCCACATTCCGCAATCCTGCCAAGAATGCCAGTTGTAAACGATGCCGTAGGAAAACCGCTACGCGGCCCGACGTTAAAGACACTGAAAGAGAGAGGAGACGAAGTAGTCGCGGCTGTGGATGAAAATTGCCTTGTGGTTCACGGATTTCATGCTTGTCGCGAGATTCTCTGTTCATCCTTCAACGTTCGTCGATACCTTGTTTTCACTTGGCGTCCCGTTGATTTATGGTCGCCTCGCTGTACAAGGGCTTGAATAGAAATGCATTTGCATTCTGACATTGTGAAACGAAAGCGATATCGTGTTACCTGAATGGACACGGAGAGATGACTGGAGGAACGGAATATTGATCATTCTTTCGAGGGATTTACAAATCTGTCCGGTAATATTTAAAATTGTCTGTTTGCTACTCCAAAAGGATGCTTATGATTCGAACTGGCATAAATGCCACAAGAAGAGAAGGTTATTGTCAAAGTTCATAAACACGAAGACCCTGGAGGATTAGCTTCCAAAATTATCGGATCTAGTCTAACTAGTGGACGGTCACCGAGCAGTGAATTACCAGATAAACGGTAGTATCCATGGTCGTTCTTGCACTGTTAGAAGCTACATTGTGACGGTTAATGCTGGAGGAAATGACCGCTGGCAGGAGAGCAGACTCTCGGTGCCGGTATATCTGGTGAATGTTGGACGTGTAGGAGTCGCATTCCACGTTAAATGCATTAAGAATGCTATTCCCATTCTTCAGTGGGCACCGTAGAGCCCGTGCACCCATGGACCCTGCTGTTATTGCGAACCCAGGGTGGAATTAATTTCCGCGAACGTTTCCATTACCACGATGGAACTCGCAGTGCATTGCCTCCATTCGCGGTGTATCGCAAAAGGATACAGTGGATTCCGTTTATTTGGGTCACATCTAACGTTTTTTGATCCAATTAAACGGCTGTCCTATTTATACGAAGGATTACAGTACATTTGATTAGGTTTGGTTAATTGAGTTTGGCCAAAATAAACGGCTGCCTCGATTAACCGATGACCCAAATAAGCGGAATCCACTGTACTTTCGTTAAAGGAAAAGATCTCGATCTGTCCCGAATTTACATATCGTTCACCGCGTGTCGAGAAGCTCGAAAAACTACTGAATTCATCTGTAATCATAATTACGTTCTAGTAACATTCTTACGAGACCCAGTTGTCGTGGACTGCTTACATGTTTATTTATTGAAATCAGAAGCCACAGAGACTTCCTGCAAGCGGATCGAGGGGATCGGCGTGACGATAACGGTGCATGCAATTAAGGGAAATGAGTGAATGGATGATACGATAGGTATTACGGGAACGGTGGTATCTTTAAGGACATCGGCACGCTTTAAGTGGGATACCGGGAACAACCTGTTCAGCAAGAAAATGGTGCGTGAAGTCCTCGATGGGGGATTCTTCGCCGGGCTAATTGATCAACGCGTGTTTGCTTTTAGTTCATCGTGTATTGACTCAACGGTTTAGTATACCGATATTAATCTCGTTAATTAATCGACGAGGCTCGAGATAGCATCTCCCCCGAGTCTCTTTTCGATACAACGTACATACGGTCTAGTGAAAAATCAGTGTTTTTAACGAGACGAAACATAATAGAAAAGTGAATGAAATTCCAACAAAATCGATGGGAATGAACGTGAAAACTATAATTAATCAGTTTCCTTCGGACCCAAAACGGAACTGTAAAACACTTTTCAATGTCCCAGTTTCACAGGAGATTGTAAACTACAATAAATTCAAGGGCAGAGCTCGAAAAGTGTCTTAACATCATGTACTCGTCAAGAGGACCCATTGATCGTCATTCTCGTTAATTCTGCTCGAGGGCAAAAAGGGCACTCTTTTGGCTCTCGCATCGAGGGGCAGTACTCGAGTCGATGCACCGTGGCATGCAACAAAAAGCAATTGGCCGGGAGAACGAGTGTACCGGTTATTTAACGCCGTTGCCTTTATGCCACTTATTGGCCAGCCGTCGTCTCGTTGCACGAGTTTTAACTGTAACCCGTCTTCCAGTCGATGTAACAGTACCGTATTCTCGTCTTACTATGCAGCCCCGTGGGCTCATTCATTATTCATACGCTAAACCGATACTCCGGCTTATAACGTGAGCGTATGCAGTGTCCGACTGGCTGAAAATTCGAAGGTTGATCCCCTGTCCGGGTTAACGGATCATTCGATGGTACACACAGATACGCACACATTCATACGAAAGTTCGATGTAATCGTCCGCCCATAAAGATAATCGTTCGCGCTTCACTCGACGAATGACTTTTTAAACGACTCCTTTTGCTGCCACCTTCGATTGACTTCTCCGGGTTTACCGACCCGACATTTCACTCGATGGTGGATCTGACGTTACTTCTTCATCTCGACACGGTGATTTAATAATGTGGTTATTATTTATCACATGGTAGTTTGCATCCCTTTTGTTCGAATCGTGTATAATCTAGGGGTGGGAGAAGCTCTCCTATTGGGAACGATTTTTGGGTAGACCTGATCTCAGGTAGAAACTAGAAGTTCTGAAGTGTCTTACTGATGTTTGGCCCAGGAACCCCTCAGCCTCAAGTACGGACTTAAACGGTTCTAGAGGCAGCTGTTTGAAGTTGATAAAGGGAGCGAATATAAGTCTTGATAGCTAGGGTGGTATTATATCTAGGGATAAGGGTACTTTCGTATTGAGTTTGGATTTCTTTTTTGTCTGGTTTGGTGTTTGGAACCGAATCTCTAATCTCTCCGAACTTCATTTTCACATTCAAGGTAAATAGTATCGAAAGTATTAGATCCAGCGTGATTTTCCGGGGCATCATTTTCTGTTTAATCTTTTTGTGATCCCTCATTTTTCTCTTGTTGACATGCCTGTTGACATGACATACTGTCTGCACTGTAATCGGAATACACTAATGAGGAGGCGAGATAGTCTAACGCAATACACCTGTTTCCCTATTACCAATGACAACAGTATCTTAATACATTACGCTCTTGGAGTGCTGTATAATCAGGTGTGGCTAATGGCCTTACAGTGCATCCACTATGTGACATCACTATCTTAATACCCTATACTTCTCTACTACATTATCATGAGTACAACTTGATGGCCTGGCGGACTATGTTAATGTCTCCAGTTTGAATGACAGTATTATTCTAACATGTTACACCTTTTGGTGTACTACTAGTACGATTATTATTGTCTGTTTTACGACTGTTGTTTTAAGATAGTACTCTGGACACCAGCCTTCAACCACTGGATCCCGTTCTCTTGTGTTATAATAGGTATAATCACGAGCAAGTACAACAAATCTGGTTTCTCATACCCAATAGTTACGTTATCGTACATTCAAGGCCGTTTTGCACGTTTTTATTTTTTCACATCACACAATCGGCCACTGTATGCCCATTTTATTAGAGCGAGATACTCATCCGTCGTGATCTCGCACACTGGTAGTGTATTAAAACCCACAGTTTACGCAACGACACCAATGGCCAGCACACATTCCAATCTTTTACTTATTCCCTCACGCGCGTGCACACACGTGCACGGGTGGAATGCGAATATCATTGTACCAGAAGCCTACCAATCCCTTCCCATAAATTCTGCAAGTGCATTATGCGGTTGCATTCACCTGATCCGAGTGTAGGGTGATTCTGCATTTAACGGATATGTGGATTTTAATGAAACGACTAGGAGGAAAAGATGATCGGTGGAATATTTCATGAATTTTTCATCATTTCTCCAAATATCATTTTTAATTGCGAATATTCTCGTTTTCTGTACAGGTTCGACTGGAGAGTATAGGAGCAGAGGATATTGTTGACGGGAACCCAAGGTTGATATTAGGTCTGATTTGGACAATTATTCTGAGGTTCCAAATTCAGGAAATTGAAATTGACGTGGATGAGGAAAATGACAGCAGTGAAAAGAAATCTGCTAAAGATGCTCTTTTGCTCTGGTGTCAGAGGAAGACCAATGGGTATCCTGGAGTCAGCATTCAGGATTTTACTGGTAAATACACTTATTCGTGGGAATACTGTGTCGTTAGAAACTGATAGACTGAATATTAGAATATATGTCACGTGTACAATACGTAAACGTTGTGTGTTGTAGGATCTTGGAGAAGCGGTTTGGGATTCAATGCCCTTATACATGCTCACAGACCAGACCTGGTCAATTGGTCGGAGTTACAACAAAATAAACATATTGACAATCTTAACTATGCTTTTGATGTTGCTAATTCGGAACTCGGAATTCCACGACTATTGGATGCAGAGGATGTGGATACAGCAAGGCCTGATGAGAAATCCATCATCACCTATGTCGCCTCTTATTACCATACATTTGCCAGGATGAAAAATGAAATCAAAAGTGGTAAAAGAATTGCAAATGTACGTAAATTTCATACTAATTTTAATGGTTATACATTTTTAGTTATTCTTTTCATTTCTTTATGTTCATTACGAAAGTAAAGTTATTCGAATTAAAAGTCGACTTTAAGTTGTACGTGTGTAAATGTCTGTAGATTGTGGGACAAATGATGGACGCTGATAAAATGAAGGTCCACTATGAAAAGTTGACCACTGATCTGTTGGAATGGATTAAGATGAAAATCGAAGTCTTGGAGAACCGAAACTTCCCCAACTCTCTGGAGGGTATTCAACGAGAACTTTTGACTTTCAAACAATACAGAACAGTAGAGAAGCCACCAAAGTATAAAGAAAGATCAGAAATAGAAGCATTATATTTTCATATAAATACCCAATTAAAGTCCTTAAACCAGCCTGCATTTACACCTCAAGAGGGTCAATTGGTACACGATATTGAAAGGAATTGGGTAGAGTTGGAACGAGCAGAGCACCGTCGAGAAGTAGCTCTCAGAACTGAACTGTTGCGGCAAGAAAGGCTGGAACAATTAAACTACAAATTCGAAAGGAAAAGTGTCCTACGAGAAGGTTATTTGAAGGAAATGATTCAAGTGTTAACAGACCCAAGGTATGGCAGTAACTTGGCTCAAGTGGATGCCACAGTGAAGAAACACGAAGCGATTAGTGCAGATATATTGGCAAGAGAAGAACGTTTTCATGATTTGACAAATATGTCCGAGGAGTTAGTTAGAGAGAATTATCATGGTCTCGAAAGAGTTCGCGTTAGGGAACAGGAAGTTCTACAGAGGTGGAAGGAACTTCTAGCTCTTCTGGACCATCACAAGTCTAATCTAGTTGCCTTAAGTTCTCTGATGAGTTTAATGAGAGAAATCGACACGACATTGGCTTCTATTCAGGAACTTCAATTGTACTTCCAAAGCACTGACGTTGGTCCTCATCTATTGGGCGTTGAGGATCTATTACAAAAGCACAGCCTGCAAGAGTTGCAAGTAACCGCTTTAGGCGAAACCCAGAGGAGACTGGGTAGACAAGCAGCCCAACACTTGGCACAGCCACAAAGCAAAGAAGCGCCTCTGTTGCAACAGAAACTGGAAATGTTGAACCGTGCCTATGACGAGTTGGTGGAGTACAGTAAGGAACGTAAAGCTCGTTTAGAAGATGCGCGAAACTTCTTCCACTTCCTCCAAGATCATGAGGATGAGGAGTCCTGGCTGATTGAGAAGCAGAGAATTTGTAAAGCTGGGATCTCGGCGAAGGATCTCCGTGCTGTGATCTCCTTACAGCAGAAACACAAAGCTTTGCAAGATGAAATGAAAGTGCGGAGGCCGAAGTCTGAACAACTTTGTGACGCTGGAAGAAAACTGATTGCTGACAGTCATCCGTCGTCTTTAGAGATTCAAAACCGTATCGACTCGTTGCAAGAACACTGGAAGGTCCTCGAAGAGTTGGCAGCTCTTAGGAAGAAACAACTGGATGACGCAGCAGAAGCTTTCCAATTCTATGCCGATGCAAATGAAGCTGATTCTTGGATGAACGAGAAGATGGCCCTTGTGGCTTCCGAGGATTATGGTGTAGACGAACCCAGTGCTCAGGCACTTTTACAGAGACACAAGGATTTGGAGGGAGAGTTAAATGCTTATAAAGGTGATGTACAATCACTAAATATGCAGGCTGAGAAATTGATTAAGTCTGGAATTTCAACTCTTGAGCTGTCGGCCGATCCAGAGCCCGTTGCCGAACTAGAGCAGGAAGAATGGAGTAAGTTGATTCCATTTATTTATATCTTCTAACAACATACATTACAACACAAGCGAAATAACGTTTGATAACATATTTTTCAGGTAAGGAAATAAGACTAGTACCTCAAGATGAGTGGGTGGACGAAGTTGTTGAAAAAATGGAACCTAAAACAGTCCTTGAAGACAGATTGGTGCCCCAAGTGAAGAGTTTGTATCCATTCAGTGGCCAGGGTATGCATATGGTAAAAGGTGAGGTAATGTTCTTATTGAGTAAGACAAATCCAGACTGGTGGAGTGTCAGAAAAGTCGATGGTGCTGATGGATTTGTGCCAGCGAATTATGTTCGTGAAATTGAACCGAAAGTGATACAAGTTCAAGTGAGAAGGCCGGAGAAAGTCCGGGTAACACAGAGGGTGAAAAAGACAAAAATGGTAAAACAAATGGTCCCTGTTAGAAGGGTGAAGTCTATAAAGTCCACGGTGAAACCAATTAAACGAAAAACCGCCAGTGATGGCGACAGCGTGGAGAAACGACAGAAAAAGATCAATGACACTTACAATGAACTGCAGGAATTGGCAGTGAAACGCCACGCATTGTTGGAAGACGCCATACGACTTTATGGCTTCTATCGCGAATGCGACGATTTCGAGAAATGGATCAAAGATAAAGAAAAAATGTTGAAAGCGGACGATGCACGAGATAATGTGGAAACTGCGAAAAGAAAGTACGAAAAGTTCCTCACCGATTTGTCGGCCTCTGGAAAACGCGTTGAAGCTATCGATGCAGCTGTTGACGAGTTCGTTAGACAAGGCCATAGTCAATTGGATAAAGTGAAGGCCAGACAGAGGCATATCCATCAGCTTTGGGATCATTTGAACTGGCTGAAGGCACAGAAAGAAAAAAGTTTGGAAGGAGCTTCTAGTGTGGAGCTGTTCAACAGAACTTGCGATGAAGCTCACGATTGGATGCTGGAGAAAATTACCCAATTAGACACTGCAGAACTAGGTCCTGATTTAAAAACAGTACAAGCTTTGCAGAGAAGGCACCAACAACTTGAGAGGGAATTAGCACCAGTCGAAGAAAAAGTATGGCCCCCTGTTTTGCAATGTATTCTATAAGTTTTATTATCAAGATAGACTAGTAATTAAACACTAACTTTCTGATTCTAGGTAAGGAAAGTAAACTTGTTAGCCAATAGTGTAAAGAGCTCTTATCCACATGAGTTAAATAATGTGAATGCCAGACAAAATGAAATTAAAGAACTGTGGAATCAAGTTCAGACAAAAGCTAAGGAACGTAGGTCTAGATTGGAGGATGCAGTTGGTCAGCAGATTTTCATGAACAGTTCAAAGAATTTAATCAATTGGGCTGCTGACGTACAAGAAACAATGAAGGTTGAAGAGCCTGTCAGAGATGTAGCTACTGCCGAGCAACTTAGAAAGCAGCACATGGAACTTGGAGAAGAAATAAAAACACGAGAAGACGAGTAAGAATGATAATGTTTTCTAATCATACGTGTCCTTGTACTTCTACCTTTTTGTATTCTTCAGTTCCATTTATTTTCCTCTAGATTCAGGGAAGTTGAAGAACTCGGCAATCAATTACTGCATCGAAATCCAGCCTTGGTAGATGTTGGTGAACGTTTGGATAAATTGCACGGATTATATCAAGCCGTATCATCCGATTGGATGACGAAAGAAGATCGGCTTCAGCAGTGTTTAGAACTGCAACAGTTCAACCGCGAAGCTGATCAAATTGAAGCCACCACCAGTTCCCATGAAGCATTCCTAGATTTCACTGAGTTAGGAGAATCTCTCGATGACGTGGAAGCTTTGCTGAAACAGCATGAGAAGTTTGAGAATACCCTTCATGCGCAGGACGACAGGTTGAAGGCATTTAGTGACACTGCCGATAAATTGATTGCTCAGAATCATTACGATAAAGATTAGTAAGTTCTTTAATACTGACTGATATAACGTAGAAATGTTAAAAAAGTAGTTATGTAATCAACCACTGTTTGCAGCATTAATGACAGACGGAATCAAGTTCTGGCTAGACGAATGGCAGTAAAAGACGCTGCACAACGTCGTCGAGCTGCTTTGAAAGCGTCAGAGCATTATCAACAATTTTCAGCGGAAGTGGACGATTTGCGAGACTGGTTAGGCGACAAAATGAAAACCGCGTCTGACGAAAGTTATCGTGATCTAAACAATCTAGAACGAAAACTTCAGAAACATGAAGCTTTCGAGCGAGAGTTAAGAGCTAATGAGGGACAGCTGAGAGCAGTGAATAAAGCTGGAAAAGCTTTAATATCCGAAGAAAATTATAGATCAGATGATGTAGGTGAAACATTGAAGGAGTTAAATGATCAATGGGAGAGATTGGTAGCCTTGTCCTTAGAGAAGGGTCGCAGGCTCAGACAAGCTGCTTCTCAACATGGCTATAACCGAACAATGGAAGATGCTAGATTAAAACTAGAAGAAATAGAAAATTGTTTGCAAAGCAAGCAAGTTGGCGTGGATCTTCGAAGTTGTAAAGAATTACTGAAGAAGCACCAAACACTTGAAAGTGACATGTGCCAATGGGAACAAAAAGTGGATGATCTTGTCGCTATGGGTGAAGAAATGGCCCATGAAGGACACTTTGATGCTGCTAACATCCTGAAAACTAGTCAAGCGACTCAACGAAAGTATGTAATATTTTGTACAGTTCATCAGTAGCATTAAATTAGCGTTAGCAATCAACTGTCTAATTTAATTTTGTTCTATAGATTCCGTAGTTTGAAAGAACCAGCTAAGAGAAGACGAGATGCATTGGAAGAAAGTTTACGGTTTCATAAGTTTGGCTTTGAATTGGATGCTGAGTTGCAGTGGATAAAAGATCATCTTCCTCAGGCATGCTCAACCACACTTGGGCAGAATTTGCATCAAGCACAGACATTGCATAAAAAACACAAGAAACTTGAAGCCGAAATTGCCGGGCATCAACACATGATAGATAGAACTTTAGCTTCAGGGCAGACTTTGATTGATCAGGCTCACCCTGAGAAGAAGAAGGTAAGAATTTTCAATATAATTGTATATACGGAATTTTCAGACAGAGAAAGAAATACATGTATCTTTTTTCTCATTACTGTTGTATACTTATACATAGTAGCTAAAATAAAAGTTTATCATTTTTGCACAGTTGGGACTGTTAGAAGAATATTTGGTGTGCAGAGGTAAGGTTAGCACAAATGCATGGTTGGTGTTGTTTTATTTAAAGCTGTAACATACTAGGAAACTTTTAATACGATTATTTTAATTTAATTCAAGTATCGAAGTACACCAAACAGTTTGGATATGATTAATAAAGAATAATTTCTTACACAGTATACAAGAAGATTATGAAAGTTCCTAACACATGCATGTGCTTGTCTTACATGATTTAGACAAACATATTTAATGTTTTTTATTACATTAATTGCAGAAATTTATTTATTTAATTCACACATGGCATTATAATGAGAATTAATAAAATTTTATTTAGTACAACTAATGTACGTCCTTTTTTAGTTGTACATTTTATTTGAAATGTTTCTCCGAAGTATTCTTCTTTAATATACCAGTCCTATTTTTGTATAGATACGAGAATTGTGCGATGAACTTGAAGATGCATGGCGAGACCTGCAAGAAAAAGCAGCAGAACGAAGCAAAGCTTTGGATTTATCCCTGAAAGCTCAAGAATTCTACTTCGAAGCAGGTGAAGTTGAAAGCTGGTTGAATGAGAAAAATGATGTTCTTAGTTCCACAGACTATGGCAGAGATCGTGATGCTGCTACAAAATTACTCACAAAGCACAAGGTATGATAGAAAAACGGCTTGTGGAAAATAGTCCACTATATCGTTGTATAGTTCAGTAAAATTGGGACTGAAAATATTTTATTCAAAGTTATTCTTATTTTAGGCTGTCGAATTAGAACTAGACACTTACAATGGGATTGTAACAGAAATGGGGCATACAGCTTCTACCATGATCAATGCAAAACATCCTGACAGTAAAGCAATAGCAAACAAGCAACAAGCAATAGCTCAACAGATGAGGGCATTACAGAGGCTAGCTACAGTAAGACAGCAACGTTTGATGGAGAGCATGTATCGTCACGAATACTTTTTGGAAAGTCGAGAATTAGAACAATGGATCAAAGAGCAGGAACAGGCAGCGGCGTCTGAAGACTATGGTCAAGATTATGAACACTTGCTAATATTGCAAGCTAAGTTCAACGACTTCAAGCATAGAATAGAAGCTGGTTCAGAGAGATTTAACCAATGTGAAGAGTTGGCTAGAAAACTTATTGCCAATGAGAGTCCATATATTAACGATATTGAAAAGAGACAAGAACAATTAGGGTAAGATTTAATATTACGGTATACACCTACTATAGTTCTAGATTTCACTCAAGTGCATGATCAGTTTCTTGAACTTAGCTGTGGTAAATTGGCACTTTGTGTCAATAGTGTATTATTAATACGATTTTATGCATTGGATGATGGTTACTGGGTGGGTAATAAGAGTGTATGTATTGCAAGTTATAAGATATAATTTTATGGTGATAGAATTTTACACAACGATAATGTATTTCGGTGTTGGGTTACTAACTGTATTTTTGTATATATATTTAATACAGACCAAATGATGATGACCCTGTAAGACAAGTGCAGAAGCAACATGCTGCCATGCAGTAAGTATATATGCATAATGCTTGTGTAACTATGGGTTGTATATTGTAAATGCGGTGAAGTGGTTTTTTTTTTTAAATTTATTTATAAATCTAGTGTATTAAGAGCGGCATCGTTTACGTTTTCATTAGAGAGTCTTGGCAACATCTTCTTGGTCTCATTCGGAATCGTGAACAAAGGTTGCAAGCAGCAGGGGAAATCCACAGATTCCATCGTGATGTCGCTGAAGCTCTGTCACGTATTCAGGAAAAGGAAGCTGCTCTACCAGAAGACCTGGGACGTGATTTGAATTCTGTCCTAGCATTGATTAGACGTCACGAGGGCTTTGAAAATGATCTAGTTGCTTTAGAGGCACAACTTCAAGTACTAGTTGAGGATGCATCGAGACTGCAAGCACATTATCCAGGAAACAATGCAGTTCACATAGATCAACAACAACAGATTGTTGTTGCCCATTGGGAAGAATTGAAGGAAAGGTCTGCTCATAGACGAGATCAGTTGCAAGCTAGTTGTGACCTGCAGCGCTTTTTAACTCAGGTTAGAGATTTAATGAACTGGGCAGCTGGGCTACGTGCCACAATGTCAACTGAAGATAAAGTAAGGGATGCAGCAAGTGCACAGATCTTAAAAGCCGAACATGAAGCTTTGAAAGGAGAGATAGAAGCAAGAGAGGATAGTTTCAGTTCTGTTCTTGATTTGGGAGAAGCCATGGTCCAGACTGGACATTATGCTGCTTTGGAGGTGGAGGAAAAGTGTAATCAATTACTCGATGAAAGACAAAAGTTACACGCCGCCTGGCAACAGAAGAAGGTTCACCTCGATCAGCTAATAGATCTACATTTCTTCTTGCGAGATGCTAAGCAACTGGACAATTTGTCCACCACTCAGGAAGCTGCTCTGAGTGGAGACAACTTTGGAGACTCTGTGGAAGAGGTGGATGCACAAGTGAAGAAGCATAGTGAATTCGAAAAGTTACTAGTGACCCAGGAAGAGAAACTAACAGCCCTGCAAGAGCACGGAGACAAATTACTGGCACAGAATCACTTTGACTCGCCTACAATTGGAAAAAGATTGAGCGAAGTGGTACAAAGGCGAACGAGAATACGAAATTTGTGTGACACTAGACGCAGGAGACTAGAAGCTGGTTTATTACATGCACAATTTGTCAGAGATGTAGCTGAGGCGGAGTCTTGGATCGGTGAGAAGCAAAAGAAATTGGACGCTGAGGCATCAAAGGGCGAGGTATCCAGTTTAGAAGACAAGATTAAAAAGTTGCAGAAGCATCAAGCGTTTCAAGCAGAGTTGGCTGCGAATCAAAGTCGCATCGAAGAGATTAAGGCCAAAGGAGAAACTTTACTCGCCCAGAAACATCCAGCGAGTGCTGAAATTCGACAACAGTTGGAACACCTGCATGCCTCGTGGAAAAAATTGTTACTGGAATCCGAAAATCGCGGTAGAGGTTTAGAGGAGGCACAGGATATCCTTGAATTCAATAACCAAGTAGAGAAAATTGAGGCTTGGATACGGGATAAGGAAATGATGGTCCAAGCTGGTGACACTGGTAAAGATTATGAGCATTGCTTGAGCCTTCAAAGGAAGTTAGATGATGTAGATAGTGATATGAGAGTAGATGATTCGAGAATAAAGACAATCAATGCTTTGGCGGATAAACTTATTAGACAAGGTAGGGACAATGAGTCGAAAGCAATTCAACAGCGTAGAGACAACTTCAACAATAAGTGGAAGGGTCTCCAGGGTGCATTGAGCGCCTACAGGGAAACATTAGCAGGGGCATTGGAAATCCACTTGTTTAACAGGGACATAGATGACACGAGCCAAAGAGTTATTGAGAAATCTGTTGCTATGAACACAACAGATGTGGGGAAAGATTTACCTGCTGTTGAGCACTTGCAAAGAAAACAAGAAGCAATGGAGAGAGATATGACTGCCATTGAAGGAAAGTTGAGGGAACATAAGACAGAAGCTAGAGGATTATCACAGAAATACCCGGACAAGGCACCACAGATTAATGGCATACTGTCAGAATTGCAGTCAAATTGGGATGATCTGCAACGACTCACACAACATCGTCGCGAAGTATTGAATCAAGCTTACACATTACACAAGTTCCAAGCTGATCTACACGAGTTGGAACTCTGGGTGGCAGACACCATAAAACGCATGGATGAATCTGATGCACCAACGACGATATCTGAAGCCAAATCTTTGCTGGAGCTCCATCAAGAGAGAAAAGCTGAAATCGATGGAAGGCAAGACACATTCAAAGCCTTGAAAGAGCATGGTCAGAAACTTCTTGTCATAAATGAGGATGTAAAGGCGAACCTGAAGCATCTGGAGGATCTTAGAGAGGGCTTGGTCAATGCTTGGGAGAGTCGAAGGCAGAAGTTAACACAAGCACATCAGTTACAATTATTTAAAGAACAGGTATGTGTCGAAATAATAATTTTTAGTTTAAATAGATTTACACTTATTAATGTATTGATTATGTTAATTATTTTAGGCTAATCAAGCTGATAGCTGGTTGGCAACAAAAGAGGCATTCCTTAACAATGATGATCTTGGTGAATCGTTATCTGGTGTCGAAGCACTATTAAGAAAGCACGAAGAATTCGAAAAGATGCTTGTTTCACAATTGGGTCGCATTGAAGAATTAGAGAAGTTTGCAAACGATATCTTGCTTGAAGAACATGCAGATGCAAGTATTATAAAGCAAAGACTGACATCTGTCTGTGCTAGAAGGGATAAGTTACAGAATAGCGCGAGAGCAAGAAGGAAGAAATTGATGGAGAGTCATCACTTACATCAATTCCTTCGAAACATATATGAAGTTGAAGGCTGGTTACATCAGAAACAACAGGTAGCCAGTGACGAGAACTACAGGGATTCATCAAACTTGCAAAGCAAAATTCAGAAGCATGCTGCTTTCGAAAGTGAACTAATGGCGAATAAAGGAAGAGTGGCAGCAGTAGTCGGTGAAGGTAATCTAATTCATTCTAAACGACCGGTTACACGCTTCTTTTTATAATGTAGAAATAAGAATTTAATTTTTAATCTTTTTCATTAGGTGAAGCGTTAATTGAAGAGAATCACTATGCTTCGGACAGCATACAAGAACGCCTAGATGAACTGGAAGCTGAGTGGCGTCATCTTCAAGAAACGAGTGAGCTAAAAAAGAACAGATTGAACGATGCTTATCAAGCTTTACTATTTGGACGTACTTTGGACGAATTTGAAACATGGATGGACGAAGTGGAGACACAGTTGCAATCAGAAGATCACGGAAAAGACCTCTCAAGCGTAGCCAACTTACTGAAGAGACATACCAATTTAGAGAACGATATCCTCGGTCACAATGATGCCTGTGAAACGATTAAAGAGACAGCAACTAATTTTCAGAGATCAAATCATTTTATGGGCGATGAGATACAAGAAAGAGCATTGGTTACGATAAATAGATACCACAGCTTGCAGGAACCAATGCAGATAAGAAGAGACAATTTGGAAGATGCTAAATTATTGCATCAGTTTGCGAGGGACGTTGAGGATGAATTACATTGGCAGTCAGAGAAAGAGCCTTTGGCTGCTAGTAATGACTTAGGTAGTTCATTGACAACTGTACAAAGATTGCAGAAGAAACATCATGCTTTGGAAGCAGAATTGATATCCAGAGAACCCGTGGTAGCTTCTTTGGTTAGTAGAGCCACAGTTATGATAAGAAGTGGACACTTTGCATCAGAAAAGATTGAAAAGCTATCGCAGGAATTACAAGAGAAGCTTTCACATCTAAGGGATTTAGCTAGCGTGCGCAAGTTGCGTTTATTAGATGCTGTCGAATCGCAAATGTTCTATGCTGAAGCTGCAGAAACTGAACAGTGGATCAAAGAAAAGTATCCTCAGTTAACTTCTACAGATTATGGGAAAGATGAAGATTCAGTTCAATCTTTGCTGAAGAAGTTGGAGGAGATTGAACGAGATTTGCTAGGTTTTGAGAACACTGTTAGCAATCTGCGAAAACTTTCACAGGGATTGATAGAGAGGCATCATTTTGATAGCAAAAACATTACCCAGAAGCAAACAGACATTGAACAGAAATTCAAAGAATTGCAGAAGCTCAAGGACTATAGATTACAACGGCTTAGAGAGAGTGAAAAGTTGTTCAAGTTTATTAGGCAAGCAGACGAAGTTATCGAATGGATTGGTGATCAAACAACTGTCGCTGCTTCAGAAGACTATGGCCGTGACGTCGAACATGTTGAGCTTCTGATCCAGATATTCGATAATTTCTTAGCTGGTTTGACAACCAGCGAAGGTCGTGTATCAGCAGTCTTAGATGAGGGCCAAAGACTGATAGCAGAGAACAATCCGGAGAAGAATAAAATACTGATGAAAATTGAAGAAACAAAACAACAATGGGAAGATCTAAAGGAACTAGCACATGCACGGCAGGACGCGCTAGCAGGTGCAAAACAAGTGCACATGTTTGACAGGACAGCAGATGAAACAATTTCTTGGATACAAGAAAAGGAAACTGCCCTCAGTTCTGACGGCTATGGGCACGATTTGGAGACCATACAAGCACTAGTTAGGAAACACCAAGGTTTTGAAACGGATTTGGGTGCTGTAAAAGAACAGGTCGAATTACTGATGGAAGAAGCGTCTAGGTTGATAGAACTGTTTCCGGATGCTCGGATACACATTGACGTGAAACACCAAGAAGCTGAAGCAACTTGGAACGAGCTACTAGAGAAGGCTGCCCAAAGACGAAGTAAATTGGCACAAGCAGAGCAGCTACAGGCCTACTTGGGCGAGCATAGAGACCTGATGTCCTGGATCAATGAGATGATCGCCAAAGTAACAGCCCCAGAATTGGCTCGAGATGTTCCAGGTGCAGAAACATTGATATCGCGACATAGTGAATATAACACAGAGATCGAGACACGAAACGAAGCTTTTGATAAGTTCTACAAGACTGGTCAGGAACTGATAGAGCAGGGTCATTTCTTGGCAAAGGAAATTGAGGAGAAGATATCTCTCTTGCGGCATAGACAACAGTTCCTTAAGGATACTTGGGAGCAAAGAATGCGTATATACGAACAGAACCTGAATACACAGTTGTTCAAACGAGAAGCTGAGACACTGGAGAACTGGATAATCAGCAGAGAGCCTATGTTGCACGATGGGAAGTTGGGCGAAAGTATTCCTCAAGTGGAGGAATTAATTAGAAAGCATGAAGATTTTGAGAAAACTATTGAAGCCCAAGAAGAAAGGTTTAGCGCTCTTAAGCGTATAACTATGTTGGAGGAGGCATTCCAGAAACAACAGCAGGCTGAAATGGCAGCCAGACAGGCCGAGAAAGAAAGAATAGAGCGGGCACGTCTTGAAGAACGGAAACGTAAAGAGGTACAGAGAATAACGGAAGAAAGAAAACGTGAGGAAGAACGAAGACGACTACTGGACAGTCCTCATCGGACTGTACACGATGAAGTTAACGGCACAACCGATGAGCATGAGTCTATTAATAAATTGTCACCACTAAAGGCTTCAATTTCACCTGAAAGTTTGGATTCAACTCCAATTCAAAAGCCACACGGCACACAGCATGTGTTTGGCGAAAAACTACGGAGAACAACTCCTGATATCAAGAGAGCAGAAAGTATGAAGGTTGATACGAAAAAACCGAAAAGAACACCCAGCTTTACCACGAGAAGGCGGACTCAAAGCTTCAGGAAGCTTCAGCGAATGGAGAGCATGGATGCTTTGCCTCCGGTAGAGATACAAGGTTTTCTGGAAAGAAAGCATGAGTTGCAGAGCGCTGGCAAAAAAGCGGCTGTTCGTTCGTGGAAGCAGTACTATACCGTATTATGTGGACAGCTACTGTGCTTCTTTAAGGACATGGAGGACTTCTCGTTAAGTAAAGCAGCTACTGCTCCTATCACGATTTTCAACGCCATATGCGAGAAAGCAGATGACTATACCAAGAAGAAGAATGTGTTCAGGTTAAAGTGTACAGATGGATCAGAATTCCTATTCCTTGCACCTAGTCAGCAAGAGATGGAAGATTGGGTCAACAAGATATCTTTCCACGCTAAATTACCCCCTAGCCTTCAACTTTTAAGCTACGATGAATCTCAGAAGGAGGGTCTAGAAAGATTGCAGAATGTGTCAGTGGAGCATGTTGATGACAATCTATCAACTGGTAGTAGTCATGCTTCCACTCCTGAATTGGAACGAAAAAATTCCGTGATTAGACGTGACATGCCCTACCAACATTCCTCTAGCAGCGTTCAGATTGAATTTCTGCAAATGCACCGGCAAAATCAGCAACGACGTGACCCGCAGAACAACACTGAATTCGTAGCCTCTCAAAGAATAGAACCGCAGCATCAAACGCAAACAGAGTTTTTGCAGATACATAGACAGCAGCAATTATTGGCGCAGCAGCAACAGATGATGCAACAGGAACAATTAACTAGTCAACGAGAACAATACCAACCGAATTTGGGAGATAAACCACCGATTCCACCACGGGGAGCGCCACCGCCTATTCCTACAAGGTCACCAAGTTCAGATGCTCTACCACAGTACAGACGTGATGGTATGATTCCTTATTTTTATGAAATAGTTAGATTATAGTACTCCAAGTACTCGAACAAATTGTGCATGATTCCGCAGAAGCAGAACATGTGCAAGGAAGACCTGGATTTTATCAGCAACGTAGTGCAACATTAAACCATAATGGGTCCGGTCAGTACTCGTCAAATTCAAACTGGCATAGACAAAGTAGTGTAGACCTCACATCACAACAACAAGGTACTAAAAAACACTTTTAGAAAATCAATTCTGAACACGTGCGTGTATGTGTAGACAATCCTCTTCCATTAGGCATATAAAAATTCATCATTATTTTATAGAATTAGCACCTCCCTTGCCATTGACCGCTCCTCCACCAACCAGAATGGCTCAGTGGAGTGCCCCTCATGATCCTGGTTAGTTGTTGTCAATTGTTTGTGAAGATGTCATATTCTTCTTGCTTGTTGTACCTAATCACCCAACATATTCGTTTTTATCTTCTGTTCTGTTACCCTGATTTGCATCCTTATTTGCTAAAACTGAAGGGGCTGCCTTATGTTGTTTATATTTCATATTAACACACTTTTTTCCCCTTTTTATTTTCATGTCATATAAGAGTTTACTGATTATTTATAACTTGCTTCTACTGCTTTGATGCAAATGAATAAACATAAAGAAGAAATGAGCATTGTTTTTTGTTACAGCTTATGGGAATGTTCCCGTAAATACCAGACAGGTAATTATATACTTTTTCAAAGCATAAAATGAAAGGAAATATATTATAGTAGAATTTTGTTGCTACATAATTAGTATGAAATTGTTAGTCTCTTTTACAAGAGGAAGTATCCTACAGAAGACTCCAATGTAATTGTAATTGTTCTTTGCCCATTATTAATCCTTCTTTCTGTTGGATGAAATATTTGTCTAAAGTCTCAAGAGTATTATATTGCACACTGCAACATACGATACTTCTATAATATTTACATTTATTTTTGTTGCATCTGTTATAGGGTATGCAACAGCAAAATAATTCTTTCACAGGACGACCAGTGTCCTTGCCACCATATGTGGCTCCACCGGCTGTGCCACAAAACACACAAAACATTACAGTCGTAGATGGAAGAAGGGCCAGTGAAAGTGGATCAGAGAGTGAGCACAGTATGAGTAGTAACCGCAAGGATAGGGATTACAAAAGAAGTTCTGTTTTGAGTAATCTATTTGGTAGACGTAAGAAGCCTTCTCAGTCGTAATATTTAATTACACATTTAATTTACATGGAACATGTGGAAGATATGAAAGTGGCAGATGATAAGTAGTTCCTTTAAATGCGTTAGGAAGGACGTGTGTATATGTTATCTTTGCTACATGCTACATTAACATCCCTTGTAAATTATTTTTATGTACTATACAAGTTTAACATTGAGTAGAGATTTATTATTCGCGTTATTCAATAACGTGATGTATGTTGAGTTGATCATGTAGGAGACGACCTACAGATAATGTGTAGATGAAGATAGCTGCAATGGAAAAGCGACACGTTGCAGTTCAACGTACTTTCTCAATTCTGTTTTATTGAACACACATATCTCTCTTATTGCAAGAAATCTTAGACATGGAGCACTGTTCTCATACATTGTGCACAGTTATTGAATTTTTTGAGAATATAGATACAGATTTACCTATAACACACCCAATACACGAGGGTCTGAGAGATATTATTACAAACAGAAATCATTGTTCGATAAAGTTTGATTCTTCAGCATAAAAGGTAATGCACCATATGAATTTCATAATGTCAAAAGTTACAGCAGTTTAGGCTAAAGTATTGTTGATTTAGTTTTACTGTAATTGTTAAATTCTTTGATAAATTCTTCTGGATGCGTTAGAAATGACGGATTAATGCCTTACACGCGATGATTGTTGCTGAATTTATTTAAAGTGTACCTGACTTTAAGAGAAACGTTGAAATGTATGAAGAAGAACATGCAAGTACGTGTGTAACGTAAGGTTTAAGTTGTAGATGTCATAATATATGTTGCAAATATTATATATTTGAGAATACCTACTTGGGACCAATAATCTTTAAACGTACTAAAAAGGACCCACAGATGTGTAAGTACACATGTCATATTTTTGAAAGAAAACGAGAAATGATATATTCTTAAGGCTTAATGATTATTCTCCTCTTTTTTATAATGGATACTATAATGTGTAAAGTGTATTTAAGACTACATAAAGTATACTTATTATGTAGGATTATCAGTGCTATTCTGTAGTTACATAGTGAAACTCCTTTTCGCGCTAAGGAGTCGACAATCAAGAATTAAATAGACAGATTGAATGAATAAAAAAAACATGAAAATATGGATTGTATTTTTCAAGAACCTGGTGTTTTTATTAATTTTGTAAAGTAAACATATAAGTACATGAGCATGTTACCTAAAAAACAAACTGCAATACAATGTGAATTCGCATACGATGTCTTTCTTCATTATTGCACGGATTTTGATATTAACAAGGTGAGAATTTGTATATATTTCACAGTGCTAACTTTCCCATTCATTGTGCTACTAACATTAGTAATTTAATAGGTACTTTTTACATCAGTTCTAATTTTTTATTCTATATAACTAATATAATACACATTTATTATTTGATATTATTCTCAAATATAAAATACTAATACATTCCAGGGAATAATTGCCAATACAAGTCTGTAACACATAGAGAAATTTGTATATTACAGAAGAAATTAATACCGAGATCAACGAGCACTTTTTAAAAGAATTCTTCATACACATATTGTTACAGCTCCATTACTGTGCTATAACAACCATCATCAACTTAAAACAGTTAAAAATCTCATTTCATTTACACGCTAATAAAGCTTAAAGAGAAACTTAAATGCAACAATCATAGATAACAACAAATAATTCACGTTTCATAAAAAGTGAAGTATACAGTTTGTAAATGCCAATGATACAAGTACGTCCTTTTATTTGTAACAACATTATCACACTGTTTAATTCTCCACAAAAAAAAAAAGAGTCCTCACTCTCTCAGAGTCCACATTTGTAGGAATGGCAGTGCACGAATAATATCAGGAGAAGCATAGTGAACAACTTGTACACCACTTGGACTTTTCTAGGTATATCATCGTTCAAACATCATCATTCTATTGTCCTTTGGTCAAGTATCAAATCGTAGACCGTACTGGTCTCCCTTGAACAACCGTCCAGGGTTTAAAAACTACCGTTGGTGATACACAAACAGTTCAGTTGCAGACACAGATGACCGTCACGGCATTGAACACATTAACAGTTACACAATTGTCGGCGGCTGAAGAACAGCTGGTGCACGCCTGACTTTCAAAGCCTCCGGACTCATAGCGCGCACCTGCTTGGTGATTTGATCATAGTCATATGTGACAGCCAAACCGCCCTCTGAGCTGGTCTTCCTACTAACATATCCTTTATTTTGAGACGAACTTACTGTCTTCTGTCTTTCAGTCGTTCCCGTGTTGCTGTAAAACGCGTCAGCCGCGATGCTGCCCTCCTCTTCTTCCTTATGGTACCGTCGGCTTTTCAACCTCAGCAACGAGTACACGAAGACCGATATTAGAAGCAGAAGAAACAACACACCCACAGCTGCGGCCGCTGCTATTACTCTCATCTCCGTTGGGTCACGAATGAGTAGCTTCACGTTGGTCGAGTCTCGGCCTTTCTCGCTCTCCACTAAAAGCGTGTACACCCTAGCGTCTTCTTTCAGAAGATCCTTGATCACCAGTTTTGCCCAGTAACAGTTTGTCACCATTTCGTTCTCCTTGATGTGTTCTAAGGGTAGGGCTTCGTATTTCGGGTGAATACTCTCACCTGAACAAAAGAGAAGAATTTAGTTGAGTAGATTCAAGTAAATATTTAATGGTCAGAACAAGAAATGATTCGTACCAGCTCTGATATGCGAGCTCCCCCATTGCCAGGCAACGATTTTCGGCGGAGGTCTTGAGCAGAAACGCGATTTAAGGATATGTTCAGATTCCCCAGCCCAACCTAGAGACTCGTAGAATCCTTTTCCTCCAGACGAAGGTCTAGCCTGTATCTCCGGCGGACCAGTCACGTGGAGAACATAACGAGCGTCGCTTGGCATTTCTCTTCGTACTCCATTGATTATGTTAAAAGCCACACATTGGTATTCCCCTTCGTCAGACCACATTACGTTCTCCAAACGTAAACGTTTACCACCGTCTTTATTCTCAAGAGGATTCTCAATGGTTTCGGTCACACCCCCACGTATATGTATCCATCTGTATTGTGCCGGCGGATTTGCTTCAAAATCTAGACACTCGAAAGGCTCCAGATTGGCGCCCAGAAGAGTTGTTTCCTCAAACTTCTGTGTCGTATCGTTGCTGGGGTTGTCTTCCTTAATTCTTGGACCATCTAAAGAAAGAGTACAATTACTCGATTGCTCGGTATAACTTTGTCAGAAGAGTAGCGTAAGTTGCAATTAAGTCGGGTGAGTTCTGAGTGAAAGGGAAACTCAATCGATCTACTATGTTACTCGTTTAATGATAGATCGACGTCTATCCAAGAACTATAGTTTTCATTATTTCGCCTTATATTTATGTCCACAACTGGTCATCATTCGAGGCCCGAAATTTACAGAATCGTCCCAGAATGTGTAGAACTGCAAAAGGAAAGTTAATTGACCCATGTTACGGGCCTTTCACGGCACAGCGCTAAGCACAAATTGATGTCTTTATCATGAACCACGGGGCAGCCCATTAACGTTTTCCCCCTTGTTCTCGCGGAAAAAGTAGGAATCATGGTAAAAGTCGAGCGACTCACATTGTACGTCCAGTCTGTAATTGGCGGGAGCGCTTTCACCGATAACGTTGACCGCCTTGCAAGAATAGAGACCGGCGTCGTTTCTCTTGACCGGCTCGAATCTCAGCTCGGACCCCGCCACGGTGCCGTTCGGCTGCGTTCTGTTTAGCATCACAGACACGACGTTGCTTGTCATAGTGATGGGAGCCGAATCCTTGAACCACTTGATCGTTCCGCTGGGATTGGCATCCGCGAAGCATTTCAGGCTCATAAAGCTCGCCGAGTCCTCGAGGGCTGCGACCAGCAACCGCGGTTTCGTCTCGAGTCGTACCTCCGGGGAATCTGAAAATTCGTGACTCCGTTAAACCGACCACCGTACACCGTTCCCCATCATGGTTAGCTGTACGTATTGTTTCACGGTTGTTCGAAGTCGGTAATTGGGCATCGTAAACGCGGAAGAAATCGTGCTCCACTAAGCTATCAGGATAAGAAAATTATTCCGTAGTAAATTAAGAAAGTATCTTCGAATTCTTGGATTGTTTTATCGTGGTAGTTTTAATCGTGATTCTCGGAGAAGCGTACTGGCGAATAGCAACAGTCTTCAGCAAGCCGGAAAAAATGAATCTTTTTCGAATACTGTACTCTTGACTATGAATTGTAAATTCAGTTTACGACCGCCGTTTCAATGGACCTTTCACTATGTTATACAAATCTCAGATATACATACAATGCACGTCCAGCCGTGTTTCCGCAGAAGCTGGAACGATACTGGATGGATGGATCGTGATACAACGAATCGGTAGACCATGGTTCTCCCTTTGTCCACGAACTCTGAGTAGGCTATGAGCTGCCCACGTTTTAGGGCTATCCACTTCGGTGGCGTTCGTCTGTTCCCTCAAGGATTCCACTTCATCTCCTCCTATGTACCTGTTTCGAAGAGCAGCTAGTTAAAAAGAAAACTTCTACGCGACAGAGATTAATTCCACACTATTAACAGACCTCCTGTTCTTCCGTAAGCTCGAGTGATTTCAACACTTGCACAAAACAATTTCTACCGACTCGCTCGACAAAGAAAGTAGTTGGCACTCGTAATGCTTCGAATACAATGTAGAATTTCTTTTCTTCGATTAATCAAAAAGATTTGCACAGAAAGTTTCCGGAAAGCGGTGCAACCAGCTTCCCGCGAATACCGATATTTCAAGGTTTATACCCTTTCTAGAGTGATTCACGGAGAGACTATGCCGACCGGCCAGTTTCTCCGCTTCCACGGTTGCAATCTGCATAATTATGCTTGGCACTGCATCTTCGGGGCAAGGAAGAGAAGAAAAAAAACAGTAGAACTGTTTAGGCAGCGTGCCTATTAAAGGCTGTAAAAGAGTTAGAGGAACCTTCCTGCCGCTATAATACTCGGTATACTTTATGAGAAAGGACGGGCCTGAAGTGTGAAATTAGGAACTATTCTCGTCGCTGTTCTACATTTGATTCCGTTTCCTGCGAAAGAAATGCCTGTACGGCACCAACAATGTTATTTGGCCAAGTGAAACTTTTGCTTCTATAGGCGTTTCCGTGAATTTTAGAGACTCGGTCGTTCTTGCGCGGGCGTTAAAGTCTCCACCTCGAGAGAAACGCGGAGAATTGTTTGAAGAGAAATAATTAACTACCGATGGAAAAAATTGAGACTTAAACTTAGTCGATATATGACTTGAATATTTCAGAGTTTGTCTTCATGCTTGCATAAATGTTAATTAGAAACGTTTAAGCGTAACACACTTCTCTTCGATGTAAGATAATACAGGAAAAAATGTGACTTCCTCTTTAGCTTATTAGAAAAACAGTTAACGTAATACTATAATGAGCTAAATTACGAGAAGAATGAAAGTCCATTTCGGGAATGATTCACGGGCAATTAACAGTGAAACCTATCCTCACGTCGCTTCCTCTCACATCTAAATTGTTTTTCGCTTTCTAAGTAACGATTAACGACCTATAACGATGAACTTCGGGCCCGATGAAGCGGTACCATTTTAACGTTCCTTGTCATTTTCATGTAGAAATAGAAACAGACAATTTGATTTTAACACTAGAACTACCAGCATTAAATGCGTGCTAAGTTAAATTGTGTAATATATGTATAATGCGATATAATTTAGTATACAATAATATAAAGTGTATAATAAATTAGAGGTTACACATAAATTCCGATGAAAGTGTCTCTAGGATTTCAATAATGGTAAAATAAAAAATCTGGAATCCGTCATTTTGACGGGTTCGGTAGTTCTAGTGTTAATATCTAGAAGGAACGAAACGACCACTCGTAACACTTGTAAACTGACATTTCAGAATCTAAATAGGGTTCGGAGAAGGTATATATGGGAGAGTTCGCACGGCGTAACGTGTACACTCACGGCCGTGAAAATTGCACGGTGTTCAGGAAAATTGTAACACCGCTCATGCGAAGGTGATGATCAGAACAGAGCGAGGTTTTATGTTAGAAGAATTTCGATGAGGTGTGGCTAGCCATGGTCACTAGACCATGAAACGAAAAAGACGCTGCTCGCCAAGTTCTCTGCTGCATAAACATCGGCGTTATGGGCTCTTGCCTCCGTTGGCCTCCGTGAACCGTCGTTCTTTTTTTTAATGTTAGTACATACTATTTTCATGGTACTAGAGACTGTGTGCAAGACAAAGGTATGCATAAATAGTCAATGCCGAGGAACAAAAATCATTCGTACTGTTGAATGAATATTTTTTAGTGATCAACCAATTACACGATTTTACAGAAGTAGATATTGAGCAGTATTGTCTAAACGATTGCGGTGACCAGCGAATGTCAGCTGTAGCCAGCATTCCTCTGAACGAAAGTTGGTGCAAAAACAATATGAACGGACCATAACTAGTACCGTTGCACAAGTCTTTTGTTGCAGTGTCCGATCATAATCCGTACAAATGCAGCAGAGAGCAAAAAAACGAGCGATACACCTTAGAATTAGGCATAGTGACGCACTTTTAATTGTCTTTCTATAATACTTGATGCATTAAATATACTGAGCGCCTTCTGACCATTAGATCACTAAATTCATTATGTTCGCGCTGCGTTCATTTGATTTCTTATGCACTTTAATTAAGTAGGTTCTTTATCAGTTTTTTCTAAAGGCTTTTCTTGCCCTGTTCGTAAACAATGCAACTACACTAGTCGGGGAATTGTGTTTTCCCCCTTTCAGCGAGCTAATTGGCTAGGCTTACCATTTTATAAGCGCCGGTGGATTGCCATATCTTGATACGCAGGAAATGGTAACTTCCTGACCCTCCCTTAAAGTTAGGGCGGTGGTTAAAATCGTCCCCCCGTACTCCAACCGTGGCTTCCGGGGTTTCACTGAAATTTTTTGAACGCAACAGGAGATTTAATGGCTGCACAGAGACAATAAACAATTAGCATTAAAGTATAGGATTTATATAATTCTCTTTGATCAACGACAATCGGAACGGGTCTCACAGGGTAAATAAATTTAGAATAGGAAAAAGCGGAAGTGATTTACGGTTCAATCGGATATAATTCATATTATATAATAAACGACTAAGTAAGAAATCAATTTACCGGATAATGTCCGAAATCGGTGTTGCAAAAAAATCTTTCGTTAAGAGAGGAAAGTAGAACGGAACGAGCGTTGCATCATTGCTTGGCCACGTTTAGCGAATTTTAAGTTAGACCCCCGTAAAATCTGCATTGTTCCATTCAGGAGGCTTTAAGATCTGATTATGCATGCGTATGATTCGGCGAGGAAAGTGATTTTTTGTTTTCTAGCGGTGATGCAAACGCTCAGCGTTCCGTTAAAATTAAGTAGCGTATTTAACGCTTTAATGTACCGCGAGTTATACCATTATAGAAACCTGTTACGTGAGAACAGCTGATCTTTTAATTGCTAATTTAACAGTTCCATCGGCATAGATAATTTACTATAATACATTCGACTGGCGTCTTACATATTAACTGGGCTCCGAAATGCACAGTTAAATCGATTTAGAATTCATTCCCAACCACTTTTTTTTAACATTAACAGTACCAGCGAATATGTTACAATATTCATCAGCGTGTTTTAAGATGTTAAATCTGTAAAAAAATCGTGCCCAAAGCAGTCAAGAGGTTTTCGGAATTCGTCTAAAGAGAATCTGGCAATCTGTTTCATTTCTTTTGAGTCAGCTCACGGCGGCAAGATCACACGCCACGAGTTTCAAGTGGCTGAAAGATCTTTCTGGCGCGGGTTCGGGAAATCGAAGAATTTCCCACGGGGAGAGAGTGATCATTATAAACTCATCTGTGCCGCTCAGCAGACGGTGACATTTCTTTATAACTTTCCAAAGTGTCTGGCAATATCTTCTAATTCTACTAATTACATTTACCAAAACTACCGAGTTTTTGAACATTTTCAAAAATTCTTGGCTCTGAGTAATTGTCAGAGTGGTTTAACGCTCAGAAACTGAGTTGTTTACTAATTTTTAAGTGATAGCATTTAATGTTCATCGTGTGGAATGTGTGTAAAGGGTTCGAATAGACTTTAGAAAGAATCTCACCTCTGACTAAAAGCCGCGAGGGCAGAGAAGTTAGAGCGTCCTGTCGTGTGAAATCACCAGAAGTCACTTGACATTCCCAATAGCCATCGTCGAAGTCGAGGGAAGCCCTCCTGATAAGGAGGGTGCAATCGCTGCCACGACCACTCGCCCATTCGTACTTATCCGGGTGCATTCCCACAGGCTTCCGGTCTTTTTGCCAGATGCACTGGCCCCTTTTGTCTTGCACCCTGCATCGCACTTGCACGTCGTCCCCCGAGGAGACCTCCTGATAGAGCGCAGGTGTCTCTGTGAATCTCTGCTCGCCGCTGATAAGATCGATCATCAGGATCCAAACAAACTGAAGACATATGAACCTCATTTTAATGGTCGTTGATCTGATCGAATACATTGTTCCAGTAGAGATACGATGTCCAAGTTATTCGTCAATGCTTCATCCCCTGACTTTCAGTAATTTTTATTTATAATTCCTTACACTTTATTAATTTTCAGTAGCTAGTTGGCTCCAATTCAGAGATCAATGATCTTGAACTTTTAACTTTTATCACATTTTTTTACCACTAATCGCACGTGTTCAGTTGGTCAATTTTTATGAATTGTTACAATTCAAAGTTTCTGGTACCGGTTCAGAGTACCTTCACTATCAATAACATGCACTTCAGTTGATTGAAGATTCATCTATAGATCGGAACACTTTCGGATGATTTAGCGGTAACGACTGGCGCGTTTAATTGCAAACAGCAAACGAATGTACTGTTAGTGTTTAAACATTGACTTGATAATCTGTTTCAGGATTCGTAAACACTGTTGTTGTCGGTGAAGATCGCTCAAAAGTATGCCGTGAGTCTTCTCGTTAGAGAACTTAAGACGAAGTGAGGCGTCGTGAGATTTGAACGAAACTCCGCGGGCGATGAAATCCTTCCAGCGCCATCCTCGGTAGATCCTCGAAGCGCGTTCACACCCCCTACGAACTTTAAATTTCAAATGTTCTGAAAACCTTTAAGACTCGAATGACTCAACATTTATCACGGAATGATCAGAAACTGGTACTTTATGTCAACAGCATCGTTAATTCAAGATGAATTCACTTTAGCACCTACTGTCACCGTAACAATCGACGAAAACGCGACTAACACTTTCGAATTTCACTTCCTCAATTAAAAATCGATCGACAGGAAGCGTTCCGCTTTATAAACTAACATCGAACAGACGAAACTTTCTTTAAATCGACGATCATTATCAGTATTTTGCTGTTTACTGAATTACTGGCAATTTTTCAAATCCTCGTACACTTCCAACAGACCTGTAATAGCTTTCCGAGACCTAGAAACCCAGTAGATCTTGTATATTTTAATTTTTTATGAAGCTTGAACCTCTGCGTTTGATAGTGATACAATGAGTTAGGTAGAAGGTGTGTCAAACTGCACGGAAGAAGGTATCGATACGAACGTGTTCGCTCGAACAAAGTGGAGGTATCACGGACAAAGGGTACCAAGAGACTGAAAGGAAAGAAAAATAGATGGTCGAGGTGAACGAAGTATCTAGGACGTCGTATAACACTGGGGGCACGTAGTGGAACTGAGCCGGAGTTAAAGCCAGAACGTTCACCGGTGTGGAAGCGGAAGACGGGCCCCAAACACGGGCCCACGCGTGCGTATCCAACCCTGTCTCCTCTGCTGCTATCCTTATTATTCGAGCGTGTTATCATTATGCCATGCTACGGCGAGCTTAGCCGCCCATTTGCTCTATATATTCTTTATTTCGTGTTTAGCCGTTTGAGACATCGCAATCGTGGCTCCACTTCATCTACACACGCCTCCGTTTCAAACGCCCTTGCTGCCTCCCTGAGCCTCTTTCTTTCGAGAGAAAATACCTACTTATTGGACCATTATACACACGTGTCCGACATAAAATGTGGTCAACCACTGACAGGTGATACCGATAATTCTTACACGAGTGAACAAAAAAATACCAGCTGACGATTAAACGCAGTTGTAGGAGCATTTCAGAAGACAGAATTAGATCTACTTCAGACTCATATGCAACTTCCTTTTAACATGGTGTAATATAAATCACATATGATTTACATTACTCTTACTCTTGAGTGCCAGTTTCTCGAAGATAATTTCCTATGTAATAACGATTGATAAAACGACGGTTTTGATAATGGTAAATGCAGTCTTAAGTGACCGATGAATCGTCCTTTCATTGAAGAGCGAGTTAACGACTCCGCTAATGAGCCGTTAATAGAATCGCATTGTATTCGCATGAACTTAGACGAGCGATGACTAATCGACAATCATGACTTTCGTTGTTTCTGTAACTTATAGATTAAAAATGGTCTTGATAAATTGTTATTTTTACCGGTGATTATTGTATACTTCAACGGCTAGAATATTTAAGAACATCCTGTGGTAGACATTTCTTTCCCACGAGAAAAAACCATAGCTTATGATTAGTCTTTAGCCAAGGTCACCTCATATTCCTGAGAAATGATTTCAAGATGGAAAGGGTTTTCCTTCTGTGAGAAAATTTATGCGACTTAAGGACTTCTGAATGAAAGTCTGCACGCGTACGCATTCATGCAACAAAGTATACGCTACGCCTAAGTATAATCTATATCTCTTGACTGTACAATTTCATTTTTATTTTAATGGAGAAAGTCTGCACTATTTATAACAACAATTAAAGCAGTAGTTATAGTAAAGCATAGTAAACTATTACTTCTTTGAAAATTAGAAAGATAGATTCATTTCTTGGATAGAGTGATGATTCGACGCTCAAGGCTCATGTATAATTATTCAATTCGTAATCTAATCTGCAAACATTTGTTATCTGATAGCGATAATGATTAGACTTATCAAGAGTCAGTCGAATTTTAATTTGTCTAAAGCATTGTGCATAGGTACTCGATTTAGTCCTGATCATTTTTTAATATCGCGAATTGAAAAATTTTTAGTTTGAAATATTCTTCAAAAAATTAAACTCAAATTTTGGGTTTCCCTTGGATCGAAGAATCGATCCAACGCGCGATCGATGTATCGCAGAACCGCTTGCTCAGACTCGACTAACATCAGAGCTGTTGTGAACAATGGCGACGTTTCGACGAAAGTGACGTTTTAATGAACAAATGTGTTTTTACACTTCAACGTTAATCTTCTTTTGTAGATATTAATTACGCTGATTAGCTGTTAGCTCGGACGCATCTGTGCTTTACGATGGCTTTGAATGCAAATGCACTGTCCAGTGACATAAGCCGGAGAAATCCACAAGATGAGTACGAGCTCATTCAGAGGATAGGTAGTGGAACGTACGGAGATGTTTATAAGGTTCGTAACCCACATAGATTATTCTTTGGTCATCGGACGTGTTGTATTCACACTGCATCCGATTTACTTTCGCAGGCCAAAAGACTTTCCATGAATGACCTCGCCGCTATTAAGGTTATCAAATTGGAACCAGGTGAGCTCTCCCAACTTTTTCAATTTCATCCCTCATTTTTTATTCACAAGGGATTTCATAGCAATGTTTGATTGTTCATAGAGTATTTGCATTTCATTTGATATTTCACTTTGTTCTTTTCCTTCTGCATTTAATCGTAATGAACTCTTTAACATACTCTTATATGTTATAGGGGATGATTTTGCAATTATTCAGCAAGAAATTCTGATGATGAAAGATTGCAGACACCCTAACATAATTGCGTATTATGGTAGCTACTTGAGAAGGGATAAATTATGGATTTGTATGGAGTATTGTGGAGGTGGTTCTCTGCAAGACATATATCACAGTATGTGTTTTGTTGCTACATTTTCTTCATTGTGTTACTACATGTATTATTCACTAGCTTATGAAATCAACTTTGTTACAGTAACCGGACCATTATCAGAAATACAAATAGCATATATGTGTCGGGAGACCCTTTTGGGATTGGCTTACTTACATAGTATGGGGAAAATGCATCGTGATATTAAAGGTGCCAATATATTATTAACTGAAGCTGGGGATGTCAAGTTAGCTGACTTTGGAGTATCAGCACAAATTACAGCAACTATCAATAAAAGAAAAAGTTTCATTGGCACCCCTTATTGGATGGCACCTGAGGTAATTTACATACATAGATTTTGTTTGTGTAACTCAAGTTACGTGAAAAGCTCACCACATTCTTATGGTTATCAGGTTGCAGCTGTAGAAAGGAAAGGGGGCTACAATCAACTTTGTGATATTTGGGCATGTGGTATCACTGCAATAGAATTGGCAGAATTACAACCACCTATGTTTGATTTGCATCCAATGCGAGTACTTTTTCTCATGTCTAAGTCTGGCTTCAAACCGCCGACATTAAAGGACAGAGACAAATGGAGTCCAACATTCCATAATTTTGTTAAAGTTGCTCTTACGAAAAATCCTAAAAAGCGACCAACAGCCGAAAAACTTCTGCAGGTTATTTCTCCTTTTTTAACATTGTTTATACACTATTAATCAGTTGGTAACATTGTGTGGGTGGATATTTAAATGAATACTATTATTCCAGCACGCATTTTTTCAAGGCGAAATGAGTAAACGTTTAGCTTTGGAATTGTTGCAAAAGGTATCGAATCCTAGTCATATGTTTACTGATTTAGAAGCTGACGAAGACGGAGCTGTACCAAATGTACCGCAAAGGATCGCATCGCGTCTTACCACAAGACCTAGACCAAAAAGCCCTCTACCACAATTAGATAGCGATGGTGAGTATACAGTTTGTTCCGCGATCAGTGGCAAATCCAAAAAGAAATCAATTCTACGTGCAAAAACAAATCTAAAGTCGTGAATTGTACACGGAATCACTTTTACCTCGGTTGTGTCACTCGTTGCGGGTCACACTGTAGAATTTTAAAAGTAGTTCCTTATATAAATGAATTACATATATATGTTGTAGATCAAATTAATCTAGACGATACGTTGCAAAGAGAAACGGTATCCCCATCTGTCGATATTAGTCCAGCATTGGACATTCTGGATATCATGAATAATGTCAAGGTATTTCACGTTTTTTTAAGTATTATTGAAAGTATGTAGGTATCTTTAAGTTATTTATTATTAAGCTATTACTCCTGGTAATACTTGGTATTACTGAAAAATATTGCACTTTGAACTTCGAGATCTCCACAAAAATTCTCTCTACTATAATGATGAATTTCACTTTTGTATTTATAATATGTTTAGTCTGTTCATAACTGTGACGTACATCCAGACTGTGGAATCGGTACAGCATTTGAAGACGTCCAAGAGAAGTAAGTACTTTTAAAATACATATATTTCATTATAATAATCCTGTGTGTAATTTTAAAATGTGGGGAGGGTTGACACTTTAAAGTCCTTCCACTAATATGGTAATTGCTGTCTCACTGTATAGTTAGTAGTTGTTTATGATACAATTTTCCGTTTTACGGGGAACCGTCTTGGAACAAAAAATTTAGTTATTGTATAGTCTAAATCTGAGTAAAGTGAAACAGCAATGTTACGTTAAGTTGCATATGGCACGTTTGCTTTTGCTTTGCATATGTTTTGCCAGTTATTAAAAAGAACTTTTTTAGTTTAAAAATGAAATTTTTCTCTTAAAAATACATCGTAAGATGTAATGCTTTTTTTTTTTATAAATGTTATAAAAATTTTCGTACCAACTTTATTTGTGCCATTCCTTACAAATAATTCTATGTTGTACTTTATATAGTTTATTTCTGTGTCAGTACTGTTGCCGCTAGTGTAACAACAGATAATAGAGAATCGCGTCGAAGCAAAACAGGCACAGAAATATTTCATATGAGTTTAAGGTAATGCATACAATGCAGATAGTTTGGTGTGGACATGTTAAACAGCTTTACATATTTCCCATGAAACTTAACATTCTACTTATAGTCACTTGTTGTCTTTGTAGAAAGGATGGATGGATAACATAAAATAAATCATTTTTAATAGAGGCGTATATACTGGCATGGCATTTTAATTCTTGTCATAAAATGAAAATAAACGCTGTAAAGAACCAGTAGATGAAAGTGTACTGTAAAAAACAGTACGATTCTTGCTTTATTTTGTTTAATTTCAGATGTGCATGAATTATGTTAATAAGTGTACAAACATAATAGTACACCTATCTATATTTTCTTCTTCTTATACTTAAGTCTATGCTAAGGCATTAGCACATGTGTCTCCATACTCACTGGAAATTCTGCATGATAGTAATTAATATGAATGTTGCATGCTTAAATTAAAAGTTCAAAAAGGTCTTGATGTGTTCAATACACCTTCTGCGTAAGTATAGTTGTGATATTATGGTCTACACTAACTCACAGAAAGATCTTTTTGATCCATGGTATTTATTTTCATTTTGTGCTGAAATATTATTAACTCCAATAGTGTTTTGTGAATAATGTTTACTGAAATGTTACATATCCGGTAAATAACTAATTTTTGAGATATAAAATTTAGATAACATATATTAGACTTCCAATGAAAATGAAATACCGGATATGGGACATGTTATTTTATTTAAGTTGTATATGAATGTATATGTAATTGAAACTTACGTTCTCTTTATGAGTGTTATATTGTAATCTCAAAGTATTACAGCATCTTAAAATACTTAATTACTCAATCCTTATATTACATTTAACTCCTATCCAAATTTAATTTCGCAACTTGTTTCTATTTTAATATTTCATAGCTTTAATTACTCTGATCAGTTTGTAATTTTAATAATTTCTCCCAACAGGAGTCTATTGCAGTACATTGATGAGGAGTTGTTGCTAAGGTATTGGCAGGTAACCCTTTTCCCTTGCACCTTGCACCTTGCACTTATATTTCCTAATGCCATGCATTAAATTACTTTCTTTCTGCTGCAGCTTTACATTAATTTACTGACTGATATCCCAATATCCTCAACAACTTTTCTTTTTCATTATTGTCAGATTGTTCGAAATGATTCAGCATCATTTATCGATGTAATTCCACTCGTTAATCAATTTTTATTCACACCCTAAAATGCCAGCAGTAAATATTATTGGACGCATATCTAAACAGTGTTTTGCGAGATTTCATATTTTCAGAGTATGCTTCTTTCTTCATAGATGTTGTTAACATTGTTCATTGCATGTCAGTTTTTGTTAGAGGATTTATTTTAAACTCGGTGACCATATTGGTGGTGGAAGTTCATGTGCCTATTATAGAGATTACAGGAGTGTACAGGAATTTACGTGTAAATGAAATCAGCGAGAAGTTCAACAGGATTTCTAAAAAAAAAAAGAAATGTGTAATCGTTTTATAGTATATGATTATAGTTTCATGTGTGCAGGGGGAATGCAATGTCGATGGTTGGGGGGCATTGCGATCAGCTATATTCCCTGCAGTAAGTAAATGATAAAATGTAATAGTAGATTGTTTTATCCTTTGGTTGTAGATACAGCTCAGTTGTTTTTCTGTTACTTCTTTTTTAAAGTAACAATAGGCTTTTATTTTAAACAAAAATTTGGTAATGTATACTTAATACTGGCTTTAAACAATCCTTTGAAGAATTCTAATTCTACACTCGCTTTCTATAATGTATCCCCGGTCGGATAAGCAGTACATACCATTAACAATCAAGGTGATATGATGTCAATGATTTAACATAGATAATATTCTGCATCTTTGCATTCTCAATTTCACTTGTGGGGGAATATTATTTGATAAATATAAATCTCATATACGAAAAAGTATTAATCGAAGATTAATTGTTGGAGCGATATTATTTTGAGTTATTAAGTTGTCTCATGCAGCCTGCTCATTAGTAAATGTCCTGTACATTTAAACAATACTATGCATTTCAATATTCACTAGTTAAACATTTAATTCGTGAAAAGTTATTGAAAAGACACTTTCCGCTCACTTTTGATACCTCTTCAAATGCTTAATAAATGGTATTTAATAGTTGAACTTTACAGATCCACATTATAATTGTAATATCACATACTGTCTGCAATACCATGATTATAAGTTACTACTGTATTCTTTTTACTCTCTAACATATGATTTCACCACATGTTCTTCATTCCTAATAATTGGTGCAATGTTTGTAAAGGTTTTATGTGAAATAATATTTCATTTGAGCTTTTCACTCCAAACTAGTTGTTAATATTATTAATATATATTCTTTAATGTATAATGTATACATTATTTATTATTTAACTAACACAGTAGCGGCTGTATTTTGGAAGATAATATAAATGTCTCGTTGAAAATGTATTGTGTACTAATATTTCCGTGCACATTTCTTTTTTCAGAGCTACACTTCCCCTTGGAGAGTCATCAAATGATTGTGAAGTCCACTGTCCGTATTACAATGTGTCTGGTAAGAAGCTATTTTTATTACAATTATTACACTAAAATATGTACAAAATAACACACTTCAATCAAGACTTCCATATCAAACAGTGACATTGTACATATTGACATTCAACAATTAATCTATAAAGCTGTACCAGAATATGTAGTTTGACAACGTAAATGATGTGGAGGTTCTGAAAGGTTTGAACAAATTGTGGCGGTAGTATAAAAAGTAGGTTTGGTGCTTAGGATCTCAAGCAAGTCCCAGGCGTCACAGCTCTGTGGACGAGTTGTATGGTCTGGTGAGCAGTACACAGTCCTTAGCCGCTGTCAATGGACAACGTCAACGATCTCTTTCGGACAGTGGTCCTAGAGATGAATCCACACAGTCTAATGGTAGGAGCACGCTAATCTTGGAGTTAATTCTGTGCTGCATAATATTTTTTCTTTCAACTACTTTTCTTTCTATCTCTGTTTCAGAGGTAATTACAAATCACTGATTATGCAGCACTAATTCAAAGCATGCTCATAAGATTGCCCTTCCTATAACCAGTCTAAATTCATTAATTTCATACACACTTACCGTTTACAGATAGCTCCTGATACATAACACTAACGATGCTTTGATACTTCTAGTGATTTCGTCATTTGCTGTTTACTAACTGGGCTAGATTTAAATTAATAATTGTAGTTTATCTGATAATAATCTACTATTTCCTAGGACTTCTTGTATGTAATACAACTCGCAATTAACGACAGAGTATTTTTAGGTCAAAATGAGACGCCAGGTGACGGAGATAGGGAAAGCATGAGTCCAGACTTATTATCCGATACGCCACCTGTTCCTCCAAGGAGAAGGGACAGGAAACGTCATACGCCTCCCAGACCTATCAGCAACGGACTACCACCTACGCCTAAAGTTCATATGGGGGCGTGTTTCTCAAAAGTCCGTGTGATTTATCTATCTATGTCTTATTCTCTTTTCAAAAAATGATTGGGATCTTGAAACACACAAATATTTTTATATAGGTGTTTAACGGGTGTCCCCTGAGAATACATTGTACAGCAAGTTGGATTCATCCAGACACAAGAGATCAGCACTTACTGATCGCAGCGGAAGAAGGCATATATAACTTGAATCTAAATGAACTCCATGAAACTGCGATAGATCAGTTGTATCCGAGACGTACGATTTGGATGTACGTCATCAAGGATGTTCTCATGTCTTTGTCTGGTAATATATTAACTAATGGCTAGCATTGCGTCACCACTGTCCTACATACAAACATGAGTAATTTTTTAGGTAAAACTCCGCAATTATATAGACACGATTTATTAGCAATGCAAAGCAAACAGAGCCACAGGTTTTCACTGCACATGAACAAAATACCCGAGAGATTAGTCCCTAGAAAGTTCGCCCTCACAACTAAGGTACCAGATACAAAGGGATGTACCAAATGTTGCGTTGGAAGAAACCCGTACAACGGGTGAGTTAATTATTCTGTCTCGGTTAGTGTACTAGTAGTATTGTGTCTCTATTAGCTTAAGATATTTAATGACGCAGGTATAAATATCTCTGTGGTGCAATGCCAACGGGAATCTTCTTAATGCAATGGTACGATCCACTTAATAAGTTTATGCTTTTGAAGCATTTCGATTGTACTCTACCATCACCATTAAACGTATTCGAAATTATTATCACGCCCGAAATGGAATATCCAATGGTGTGCGTGTCCGTAAAGCAACCATATCAGCAGAACAAGTTGAAATTAGACTTAATCAATATGAATTCAGGAGCAAGCTGGTTTCACAGCGATGAACTGGAAGACATGGATGGCTCAGGTACATACATATTTATTTTCAGACATTGTGCAACTTTCTCAGCAACTTTGAGAACGTAACTGAAACATGTTTTTATAGCCACTGTGATACCAAGAAGAGAGAACCTTCATGTTATTAATGTAACCCAACTAGAAAAGAATGCAATATTAGTATGCTATGACAGTGAGTATATTGCGGTAGTAGTCTTTATACAAAAAAAAACAACATTCTATAAATCTTACTCACGTCGCTGTTTTATAGATGTAATAAAAGTTGTAACGCTGCAAGGAAAGCCAAGATCAACCAGAAAGCATATGGCGGAATTACACTTTAACTTTGAAATCGAATCTATCAGTAAGTTCCATTGGATCAAGTGATTTTTTGAACTATTATTAGTAGTCATTAGTAATAATCTGTTTGTTTGCCTCTAGTCTGCTTACCAGATAGTGTACTAGCATTCCATAAGCATGGTATGCAAGGTAGGAGTTTTAAGAATGGTGAAGTTACACAGGAAATCAGTGACCCGAGTAGGACATATAGATTACTGGGATCTGATAAGTACGTGATCTTTATTTCCGAATGATACACAATTGATAGCGGGAATACATTATCAAATTAAATTCCTTCCACAACAGAGTGGTGATGCTGGAGAGTCATCTGGTTCAGTCGGGCACACTAACAGAATCTGAAGGGGCAGACTTGTATATACTTGCTGGACACGAAGCTAGTTATTAAATTGCATCTTCCAACTGTGAATGTGCGAGCCCGGTGTGTTGCAAGTGAATTGTGATTCGCACAGACTGCGTGTAAAGTAAAACGTGACTTGTACTGAGAGGCAGTGGTCCATGTTGGTAAGAGAATATTGTTAATTATTCTGTTTAAAGTGCACGGGAAGCGAAAGAAAAATTGGTTACTGACGTACATGGATGTACACATCATTCGTCACTGTTCTCCATGTAGTTAGTGCTGCATAGACTGGTTATTTACCAAGGATTTTTAACGAAAACAGATTTAGGATTAGAACTCGAAATTTAAAAAGAGGTAACGGAACGGAATATTGAAGGGAAGCAGGAATACATATATATAAAATCATATGTAAATTCGCCCTTATGCCTGACAAAATAAAGCTTATACCGATCGAATCTCTTAAAAAACAAAAGGATGACGTTATTGCAAACGTTTATTGAACTAGTGTTGTAAATTTATCGATCTGAGACTTGATTTTAACTCTTCTTTCGAATTTTCATTTATCTTGTAAAAATACATTTTAAACTATGAGAATCATCCGTACACACGACAGTTGTAGATATACGAATACTTATATTTTTAGAATGATTTTTTGATTGTATCGTAATATGAAAAATCCACTATATCCTGGATAAGAATTAATTGCGTTGTCGCAACTTTCTTGTCTGAATGTTGTATAGAATCACGTAAAATATCGGCCGGAAGTAGTCTAAGTAGATTAAAACAGCAACAGAGACAACGATTTAAATACAAATTAATCACAGAATGTAGAAAATTGTCCAACCTTTATCTATCGTATTTTTCCTGCGACAAATAAATTATAACTGGATACTCCATTTTTCGTATAAGTTTTGCTTTGATAGGCATTGGGCTGTAGCATCAAAGTTATTTTAATAAGACATTGCGTTCATCAGTGTCTCTAATTTTGGACAATTGTACTATGAATATACAGTATAAATTGCAAAGTAGTTTATGATGGCAATCATAAATTATTTATTTTAAGAGGTGTATATGTGGGATTGCTTTACGATTGATTTATTTAAACAGATCCGGAATATTTTATTAAGCACATAAACTGCATTATCTATGTACAACCATGGAATATTTTACATTATGCAATTAATTATTAGCACTGATAATCAGACCTAAAGAAGGTAATGTCAAAAGATACTCCACATATTTGTTTAAATCTTCGTTCAATTAAAATTCTTTATACAGGAAGAAGTATTTTATGAACACAGTGTGTCTATCAATTAGCAAAATGTTTATTTTCGCAACTAAAGCGCAAATATCAGTGAGATGTTGGTATTTTTCGTCAGCGAAATAATGAAGTTACGTGCATTTTGCGTGATTGGTTTCTAAGACTGGGAGAAATGATAATTTCTCATTTGCGAAAGACTTTCTTAATACATGAACAATGTATTCGGGAGGAAGAGTGCTGGATGAAGTAGAATTTAAGAGTAAACGTTGTTGTGAACGTTGCATTATGCATTTGCAATTTACATTTTGTTTTTTAATCATTGAGATTATTTTATTCAAAAAAGAATGGCGCAGTATTTTATAACTCATGAATTTGGAGATTCAATTATGATTCAATTGAATTAATATTAACTAATATTATGTGATATGTTTCTTTACATAACCGCTATATTACATATGCATATGAGCGTAGCCAGGGAAAGGGAGGTATTTACACTCGCCCCCCTTCCTGAACGGAAAAAAGTGACTTTTGCTCCACCCTACAAGAAAAAATTTGAATTTCGCGTCCCCGCTCCCCGCCCTTCCCAGAATTACAAAATTTTTGCGTAATATTTAATATTGCAGTATAATTTGAAAAACGACCAACAGCCTCTATTAACGAAACGCATACATTTTCAACGATTTATGACTTTAAAACCAAAATAAAGTGTATCTAGCTACGTACAGCCTTTTTCACTGTAGCAGTCGCTGTATTAATATTTTTGCGCCCCCCCGCCCCAGACTGATAATCTAGCTACGTCCATGTGCGCCCATGCATATGATATGCAGTGTGTAATATAGTCCGCGTTTGTAGTGAACGTGTGTATAAAGAAAACTTTAATCTTCTTTAATATAAAGTATAACATTTCAATCATTTATCTGAATGCTGAAGACAACACGCTTGTATGTAGACTTTTTATTTATCTGGAAACATGTCTATATTATTTACGTAATTTACTAATACTCATTTGATATCGCTCTGTCACAGTAACGTATACCAAGACGACCAATTTAAATAATATATACACAATATATATAGGAAAATTATTGAGTTGCATGCAGCAATTAGCATAAAATAAAAGACAAGTTAGTGTTAAAATATTTGTTTTAGATTATAATTGTATTACTCACTGTTACATTAGATTTAGTGAACAATTTCAAAATTTAAGTTTCTCGAATTTTACACGATTTATTGTTATACTTTCATTAATTTGTAATTTAGAAAGAAACCTGAAATTCAGCAAAAAATAATAGTTTTCACTTTAAAGATTGCTTTAGCAAGAATACAGTTTTTACATAGACACATAGTTATAAAAAGAAAACTGTCAGATGTAATAATATTTAAATGTATTGGTCAGGAATTAATAGAATTAGTGAAGAGTACATAAGAATGAGTACATTTAGGTCATTAATCTTTTTTAGTGCATTCAGCTCGTATATTTCTAAAGTAATTGAATTAATCTAAAATCACAGTTTACTTATATGTATATATATATAATGAAAGACATTTGATGTTGAGGGGTTAGATAGTTAACAAGAAAAATTGAAAATACTTTTTCGTGTAGCTTAAATTTTGTTAGAATAATGCAGATTGAAGTGCATTGTGATTAAGTGAAAAGTATGAAGAGGTCTATTAATAATTTGTCATGTATACAGCTTATCATAATAGGTAATTATTTTGTACCGATTATATTTAATTAAGTTTAAACTTGTCTGTGTCATTTTAGATGCAAATTAGTAAAGTTTAATAAGTATTGTATCTGGCACTTTTCCATCCATTGTCGATACATTGATATCTTGCAAACCAAAGCTATTGATTTGCAAACAACAAGAATGAAATGTAAATTGAATTAGGGAGAATTGACAGAGTAAAAATTATCTTGGAAATGTTGAGATATTTTGGTATTTTATATGAAGATTTGCTCTGTAAATAGGTAGTAGGTTACTAAAGAAAGTATTATGCTATTAAAGTTTTACTATAATAGTCCCATATCTGACTGCTTATTATGAGAAATAATTACGTTACATTAATTACTGCACCTAATATCGAGGCATAAGTGGTGGATCATGTTAAATTGAATTTTTATTCCAAGTTCTTAACATTCCTGACATTTAATTAGTGAAATCGTACGAAATTTGTTCCTGACACTTATAAAAATGTTTATTTGCAGAAATTAACGAAGTTAAAGTAATATATACAACTTTCATGCTAGACTCACCACTTATGTTGTAGCATAATCATGTCACAGAATTTGTTCTTGCAAAATCGTGCATAGTTGCGTGTAACAGAAAAATAATTTGGGCTAACAGTTTTTTATAAAAAACGAATTCAAATGATTCTGTTCAGAATATGTCCAAGATAGTTCACTTTACCGTTTTAAATATCACTCTTGTCTTTCATACTTAGCTTAGACTAGTTAGTGGGGCTTAAGTTCTTTAAATATTTCATTTCTGATACGTTAATATATTATTCTGTACGTTAAAATTCATGTACTCCTAATAGAGTTGAAATGTGCACGCACAAAGTGAACAAAGTAGTTCAAATTCACTTTACTTCGGATTAGAATAATTATATTGACATTATATATACTATATATTTACAAGAATTATACATTCTGTATTAAACACTGTTATATATTTTGATGTGGCATTAAAGACAAGAGAGATGTTTCAGGGAATACAATTAAACAGGTCCATGTTGCTGTATATTTACGTGTATTCGCGTCAACGGTTTAGTATGCAATTACAATCAGTGCTTAAGCAATCAAACACTAAATGAAATGTTTAATCAAAGTGTACAACAACTCGGTGGAAAGGTCTAGGCTAGAGTGTTCGTACGACTTGATGGGTCTTATGAAGGAAATTGTATAAAGCAATGTCTTCCCTGTATCTGCAATTAAGTGCATACCATTAGAAGATATTGAGTACCATTATACAGAAGGAAATGATTTATTTTGTAATGAGTATCGTTTGATCTTCTCTCATTGTTTAACTCAAGCTGTTGGAGTTCATAATTTTCTTAAGCAGTCTAGAAATATAGTAACAGGATGCCTCTATGCAGATTTACATAAGTTGTCATTTACAAGTATTCAAAAACTAAGTGCTTTGGTTCATAAAATATTTTGTGGCTCGTATCTTTAGTGGATAATCAATGCATATGGGTTGTTAAGTCCATTTCATTTTCCATGTTCATATAGTAATTATTAGAAAAAATGATGTACACATTGGATCAAGATCGAAGGAAGCTTATGCTTTGTAAATGTGGAAACTAATTTTCAAGAGAATGTATAAATGGTGTGATATAGATTAGTAGAACCCATTGAAGGTGTGAAAATTCTATATATGCTTTTTAAGCATTAAAAATGAGTATGTGTATATGTACAAAGGATATATTTGCATTGGTAATATAACCAGGATCATTGTTAAATTGTTTCTATGAATATTATTCCAGATGTTGGTTGAGTTAATTTCACGCACAATCACTAATCATTTACTTGTTTTTTTATCTGTAGCAAATTACTTCTATTGAGGTTCTGCATTGAAGTTCTTATGTCCTGGATATATTACTAATTTTTATTCTTTCATAAATATGTACTTTTTCATTTCCTTGTGCTGTTCTGTCAAGCATACGTGTGCAAGTATCGAAAGTCTACTTCAATAATGTCGTAAATAGTTACACTGCAATGTTACCTGGCGAATTTTTGTATTATTGTAAAGACAATAATTTCATTCACGGTGTCGAGTATGCATTTTAACCAAATATGCAAATATATTGGCTACGTTTGACGAGAGAACAAAATACGTTTACGCTAACGCGAAGAGAGTATTGTAAAAAGTACAGAGTATGTACGTACTCTTGGGCAGACCAACTATTAGAGAAGACGAAGTGTAGGAGAGAAACGCAGGAACACAGACACACGTCACATGCAGATTTTACATATCCGTGTTTTACTTGTGACCAGAAAGTTTTAAACACATCCCTCAATAGAGTTTCATTAAATATAGTGCATAGCTGAGATATTTCATTTTTATTGGATCTTGACATACATATGTACTTTGTGCGAATTGAAATCTCACATCAAGAACAATTCATATACATTTAAAAGAATGTAGATTTCTGTAGCAGTAGGACAATTAGTACAGCGATAACATGTACCTGTCCATATTGACCAGATCAGTGTCCTTGCCTCTGCTAGTAAATGGAGTAATTTAAGAGTCTTATAGGATACTTTCAATTCTAGCGTAGACGAAGGTTCGTTATATTTTTATGTTCCCGAAGTAGTACAGTTACATTAACAATTAGTTAAACATGATACCATGAGAAACGAAGGGCTAGCAGAAAATGTTTCGATAAAAAAAATTTCAGTATTGAGCAAGCTCTTACCTTCAGTATGTTGAGGAAGAATATCCTGTAACTCGTTTAGTTTTATATTCTGTGTAATTTCATTCGAATAATGTTATTCGTCGATTTTATGGTTTAATTTTAATTAACTCTGAGAGCGACAGTACTGAAATTACTGTACTTACATACTCTATTGATACCACTTTTAGAAACAATGTGTATTACTTCAACATGTAAAGTGTTAGATGAAATAGAAATAGATTACGGAAAAAAGGTTCAACGAAAGATCTCAGATTGTTACGTCTTGATATCAGTGAAGAACGTTGTCGCTCTCAGGGTTCGAAAGAAAAATAACATCTCACGGGTGCTGTTCAATTATCCTTAAGTTGCAATACCAGGATTCGACGATTTATCAGCTGTGTGTTATGTTTTGCGTGGAAGTGCAAATACGTAAGAGAAAGAATATTTTAAGAGGCAAGTTCGTATTGTAAGGATCATGAGATGACTTAGAACGAAACAAAAAGAAATACACGAAAAAGAAATGAGAAAGAGATATATATGAATACAAATATTATATAAATATATATATTTAATAAAATTCTTTAACGAAGGAATGTATGTTCAAAGAGATATAAATTAGCGTGAATAACGATATCGAAATTTCGTTGATTCGCGCCACTTTACGAACTATGAAAAAAAAAATTGTCAATATGTCAATAGCACGTTATTAACCAAAGCTTTAGCTGCGAATAGATGCGACGATTAATGAAATTATTCTTACAAGTGGAATCATAGGAGAAGCGTGTTGTTATCGCATAAATGAATTTTAGGTTTAAGGGGCTTCTCGATGAGATGCTGCATAAGAAAAATTACCAGAATTTTCCGATTCCTCTGACACCGTGGAGGACCCTTGAGAATATGTTAAGTATTCGTGACTACATGTAAGATTACAACCACTTAGATCCATTGATATCCTAGTTCTTTTTACTTTCGATCGCATTAAGTATTGTCAAGGGTTGGAAAAGGCTGGTTTTACCCTTTTGATGCGAGGTACTTTTTTTTTTCTGATCAGTCAGATTTGTGTAAGAGACATCGTATAAAATCTGAATTGGCTTTCTGCTGAATGTATCGGTGAAACATTCAACACACAAACGGACCATATTGATCTTTGTATCGAAAGGGTTTACTAAAAAATTTTCTTCTGCATTATGTGAGCTACTAATTTTGGGATGCTTGATACCGTATACAACATCCCAGAGATCGCAGAAAAATCTCTGTGAATGAGAATCTTTATTTATTCTTTATATTTATATTCGTAACCGAAACTAACGAAGTATGCAATATCCTTCTGGATAGGAGATAGACACTGATTCGAAGTAATAATACGATTAAGTGTATTATAGTTGCTACGGTTGTATATAATGTGTATAATGAATGATCGTTTTTCAGTTCACTAAGCTTCTCACTCGTTTTAGTCAATTCTTTTCTTTTTATAAATGCAGTATTGCGAAGCTAATTTATGAGCATTATGTATCATTTACTGGTATCTATAAGCACGACTAGCCAAACCTCTGTAAATAGACACTCTCGTAATAAAACCTACCTGAAGTAATATTTGAAGCCAATTTTGGATCCTTTTTGATCCTCTTTCTAGGATAGCTTCGTTTAAAATAATCGTTCTCATTTTAAATTTATGATACTGCAGGCGCACACTGTGCAGGATTAGTCTAAAAAATAAATTGAAAGACTATATTGTATAATTTTAATTACAAACATAAATGACAAACGAAGGAATACTGATAGTAATTAGATTGATTTATTGCGAACAACTAAGTTATCTGTATAGCGTAATTGCGAATAAATCACACGGTTTTATTATGAGTTCAGTACGCCATACTGTTAAGTATAGTCGGACAATAGTGAACCCGTTAGGTTTTACGAATAAATAAAAATTAAAAATCAGCTTGCATTCTTACTTAAATGAGTCTGTTTATTGTTCAGAGATAAAGTAATTGTTCAAATCCTAACGAGTTACTTGTAACTTTATCGACGCTTACAATATTCAGTCGATACGTATATTGATTTACAGTAGAGTTTGACCAACAACATTAACAGTAGTAGCAAAATCTTCTTTGTAAAATTTCATAACAATACAGGGTGATTATTATTGGCAGTATCAACTGTTACCCTCAAACACTTCGATAATTCCGATTAAACAAAAATTCAACGATATTTAAATTTTCCTTCGTGATCAACATTAAAAGCTTCCAATTACCCTGTATCATTGGCATCAAATTTATAAATGACATAGATTAAATACGACATACGTTAGATGAAATCATCACTTATAACATTTTTTCTATTTACCACTAGTTCACATTATATGACAAATTATGCGGCAGTATTCGTTTCAGTGTTGTACGATACACCTGTGTCTAAACACTAGAACTTCATGTTTGCGTACAAAATATTTAATGCAAGGCACAAATACTGTAAAGGAAAACGTAATGTATACATAACAGTCGTTGCATTCTCAATATCTTTCTCGTTTACCTACTTTATGATTAGTACCTTAAAAAAAAAAAAAAAAAAAAAAAAAAAAAAAAAAAAAAAAACAAAAAATTGGAAATCTAATGTGTTGCTTTCGTGTAGATAAGTCCATTATGTACTTATTACACTTTCCATTACATATCTGAGAATGTCATCTAGATCAATGTTACTCTTTTACATATCCTGCTTGTTCTCTTCAAACAGTCTTCAAATGAACACTTCCTTTCGTTATCTCTAGTCTTCCATTCCACCTTCTGTTGTACTAATAAAATATAATCTCAAACATTGTACTTTACAGATCACCCAAACGTAAACTTTATTGGTTCCTGTATCATGTCCCCCACGAGTATTATTGATCTGGACATTGATCTCTTAACTCTTTCAAGATGTACTCTTCTAAAAGACCACTAACGTGTCTGATAATTTTGCACAATTTTTCAACAACCTTGTGTCGTCAACAATGTACCTAACCCTCCAAAATACTTTACCAATCTTGAAAGAGCCGAGAACGTTTACAAACGTGAAATTCATGCGTTTTTTCTTCTTCAGTTTCTCGCGCAGTGAAATTTGTACACTTTCATTGGTATAATTATTTATGTTTCAACGTGACCCTGCAACTGACCCACGATTTTCCTCACCCAGCCTGCCTGGCTCTGTCCCGCAGACACATCATCCCTCTCTTCGCCATTGTTCTCCACACAGTTGTTCTGTGTACCATTCTTCCGATATTGGTACGTCGCACTCTCATTCGTAGGTGACTTCACTGACACTTTGCAGTCCAAGTCTGGTCCTTTCAAGAACACGGACTTCACCCTCAAATAGTCAGGTTTTTGAGCAACGTTCGGTTTGCACTTCGTGGTCGCAGTGTACGTCGCTGGGTTTACTATTAAGGATGACTCAGTTCTCTTCTTTGCAGGAACTGGCGGCGCGATTTTACATTTAAACGACACCTCCTCGGTCGCGTGACTCGAGAGCGGTCTGGCCACGAGAACCTCCTCCATGTCGCTAAATATTGCACTGTCCCTAAAAGCATCATCCACGTCCGCGTCCACGTAGTTTTCGATCGTCTCGAACGACTTCTCGTAAAAACTGTCCGTCTCACTTTCCCTATTCTCGACACTCTCCTCGTCCTCTTTCTTATCTTGCTTCGCCTGGACTGAATTGTTCGCCAGTTGACCGAGCCGTTTGCTCTCCGAGAACAGTATAGAAGGATCTGCGTAATCGGACTGAGCGATACGAGCACCCAAACTGGAACTCCCTTGCTTGTAATAAAGCGACGGTACCCTCGAGTTCGATGTTCCTCTAGCAGCACAGCCTACAAGCTCCTCCACGTCCGATGACGCTTCCCTGGAGTGTTTCAGTTTTCCTTTCTTCTTCAGCTTACCTGTGCTCAACGAGCGGAAGTACTTTGTCCGTTCCAGTTCCTCGCTGCACTCCAGGGTCTCCGTGCTCATGGTGTTTCTTAATCCTTGTAAACGACTGCCAGCCTTCGACAGGACGTTCTTGAATATGGTGGAACTACCACTCGTATTTGCCCTGTAGATCTTATGGTCAGGGTGTATATTGGTGGTCGTAGAGGACGACATGTGAATTTCAGAATAGGCATCGGTCAGAGTATCGTCCAGGGAACAGAAGAACGTCGACGTGGAGGTCGACACGGAGGTAGGAAACTTGGCGATCCTTCCTTGAGGCTGGCAGGTCGATGCGTATCTCTCCATATCCTCCAGATTGATCTCCGCAGGCTTATCCGACGCTATCGTGAACGGTCTCTCGCTCATTGGTTTCCCGTCCCTCTGCAAGAACCGTGATTTGGTCACGTTCTGATTGGAGTTTGGGTTGATCTGAAAACTCCGTGGAAGGGAGCCACATTTTTGGGGCGATGTGGGCAGTCCTTCGCAACGTTTGGTTAGCCACACCGCCGGCCGGGTCGGACTGTCGTTGTTATCTAGATCTTTCTCCTCTTGCAGACCCTCCCAAACATGTTGTAAGTTATCGTAGTTACCAAAGCCTTTATTAGTCTCTTCTGGTGTATCCTGATTACAGTCCGCATTCTCACCTGTCGTTCCCCTGTCGTTTTCTACTATCTCTGTCTCCCTGGTAACCGTAGTCTGAGTTGGTTCTTCACTCCTGGACGCTGAATTCTCCCGTATCCTAAGCGCGGTCTTGATCACTTTGCTTTCTGTGACGATACTTTGCCGTTTGAACGCTTCGAACATCGTTTTTTTCTCGTGGACACGGTTGATCTTATTCTTTAGGCCGGTGGTATCGTTTAATTTGTTTTCGGTTTTACTCAGATTGTCGTACAACAACTGCAACTGTGTGGGTTGATGATCCCGGGATGAGGATAGGGTGTTCCAGGTGTTGTTCGTCCTGACTAGCCTGTCCCGTTGCGCTGTACGAAGACGCGTCATCCGGTTGTTTGTGTTCTCTGTGATGTAATTGGTGTTCTCCGAGTCGCTGTCGTCGGAAGTGTCCGCGGACATGTGTTTATTGAAACGTTGCTGTTGCCTAACGTTCAGGATGCTGTTCGTTCGTTGCTTCTCGAGGAGCTTTTGGAATTCCTGGTTCTGCATGAGGATATGACCGACTATCTCTTCGACTGTTTGAACTTGAGTTTGTTGCTCGGTGTTCTCTTTGGCTTCTGGCGTTGGCGGATTCGACGTGTGTTGTTCGTTTTCAATAATCGCGCACTCAGGCTCAATTGTCGCTGATCCCGTGTCGCCAATGTCTTCCTTTTGCTCCTCGTCGGATTGATTGAGACAGACGTAGGATTGGAAGCCTGGCTCTGACTTTCTCCTCCAACCGGTGAAGCGATCCTGAATAGAAAATAATATATCGTGTGATTTACAAAACATATCAAGTGTAGTTTGAACGCATAAAGTTTCTGTATATTCTTTAGTACCTTGACTTTCGACCCGCGTCCATCAGAAACTCTAAGACTTTGATCTCTAGAATCATTCATGCTAGAATCTTCATTCTGGTTTTTCCTTGGCGATGCTGGAGAATCCTAGAAAATAGATAAAATTTAAGAGATCGTACAAAGCAAATGTAGGTACTAATTTTTTACCTCGGTTGTAGTCTCAGACTTTCTGGCATTTTTCTTAAACTTCTGCCTAAGCCCAGTTTCAGACCTCCGTCTCTCCCGTTCCTGTTTACGCTTCTCTAAGTACTCTGGCGGTGCGGAATATTGTTTCTTTGTCGACCCTTTGTCCGTTAGAGCGTCATCTATAAAAATAATATAATCTCTGTGCAGGATGGTATCGATTAAATAACCGAGCAGTTTCGACAGAATCAGATTTCTAATTACCCTCTGGTTGAGTCTGGCCAAGTTGCAAGACTAACTGCCTTGCGTGGATAGGTATCACCGCATTGTAATTTTCAAGAATCACCCTCTTTATCTGCAACGTCCATTCTCTCTTCTGCTCCAAGTTCCTCGCCTGTAGGGTGTACTGTAGTCGAGGATTGTCAAAGGGAATCACGTGGAAACTAAGCGGTTCTCCTGGTATGCTTTCAATAAGCATCAGGTTAGAACACTGTGAACAAGAAGAAAGTATTTTCACTAAAGTGTTCCCTACGATTGGTGCACGCTAACGATGGAAACAAGGGCTGTACCATAATGTGAGCTTTGTAGACTAGAAGTCCATCTTCTTTCTTCTTGGTGAGAAGAAGCATGCGGTCGAACAAAAAAGCATGCCTAGGGGCTTTCGCTCCCCGCATTCTGAATCGCCCTTCTGCCACCAGTTCTCCGCTGGTGGTTAAATCTGGCCCAGGCCAACCGTACAGAAGCGACTGAATCTCTTGTACACGCACAGCGTGTTCGTGTCGTCGTTTCATTGCGTTAATGTGCTTTGCGATACCAGTCATTGCAGCTAACGCCCCTTCGATCGCCTTCCTCCCTTCAGTCTCATCTTCTCTTAACTCACAGTCTGCTCCATACTCCTTCGACAAGTTCTGCAAATGTATCGAGTTGTTAATGTTAAATTTGACTGTTCTGTTTTAAGATAATCAACAGTGTCAAGGTTAATATCGTGGTAAGAAGGAATTGAATATAGAGTACTTGCCTCTAAAAGTAAATGGTACTTCAGAATCCTTTGAACAGGTTTAAGAAGAAACGACCCAAGAGGTAACGCATGTCCCAAAGCTGCTTGCCTCTCGCGAAATGCATTTGCAGCTTCTTCTTGACTCATTAAGTCGGTTAAAACAGAAACTGTCCTGAAATGAACTGTATTAATTTCCGTCTGAACTCCAAGAGCACCGAAGACACTTGATAATATTCGTGTATCTTAATTTATTTAAAGAATGTAATAACTGTTAAATCATGTACTCAGCGAATATTTACCTTGGGTAATTAGTGCAATACTCTGTGTACACTTTGAATCCTGAGTTGTGCTTTATAAATGTGTTTGCCATGCAAACAGGGTCCAAACCACATTTCTCTATTTCTTTAAGGAACTCTCTGAAACCAAATTACATTGTTGTTAAAAATCACATAGAAGTCTAATCTCCTTTTAACTTTAATTTATTCCAGTTCTCGAATCCTTGGTTCACTGAATTCCTAGTGTAAAAGAAATGGATACTAATGCTTCGAGAGAAATATTAGGAAGTGAAGGAGAGAAAGGAGAAGTGTAAGGTGCTGCATAGTCTTAATTATGTAAGTCACAGGCAGTCTATATATCTAATTGGATGTGATAATTGAAGGATACTCTACCTATTAAATTCAAAAATATCCTCGATATTACTAAATAAGTCACTTAGTTGCATCTGGTGGGCAAACGATGCCGGATCGTTTCTCCAAAATATAAGGTATCCCTGAAAAACCCATGAGTTAAGTTACAGGATTCTAAATGCAGAAGAAGAGGCAGAAGAGAGGATGCTGAATTTACTTGAATAATCTGCCGTAGGTGTTCCACGTATATCGCTTCGGTGTCGACTATTTCGAGAAGCACCCTTTCCATGGGGTTTCGATGGGGATCGCAGTAACGCGACCTGTGAAACGATGGATCCTCCTCGGCACTGTTTCTTCTTTGACTACTGCCATCATTGCCGATTCGGCAATTCGATTCTGAAACCGTGACCACTCCGCTATCCCCAGAACCTGGTTCATCAAAAGAAATCAATCCTCGTTATCATTGCAGAAGAGTGGTGAACTTATTAAAATTTTTAACATTTCCTGTCATTATCGTCAAAACTCTTATTTACTAAAATGATCAAGTGGAGTTTTAATTATTTCGATTAACTACAAAATCAATATTACGTTCAACTAACAAAGTTCCAGAAGCATCGGTTAATGGATCGTTTTTGGCAGTGTTTCGACAAAGAGCTCGCCAGAAATAAATATTATGCAGAGGAAATGATTATAGCTTGAAATATTTTAGAAATCTGTTTCCCAATGTATCAGTCGGAGGAGATTCCAAGGACTCCGACTTTCTCTTCGCTGTAGCGTAATAACCAGCAATGACAGTAATGATAGCAACGGTGGCAATAAAGTTCTCTCTCGGCAGTCCGCGATCATCGAGGAAAACATTGCTCGCCGGCCTGAATTGCACGAGAAAATGCGTGCACTTCCAACACGCGAAGATCAACCGCGTGTCACTCGCGTACGCTCGTAAAATGTGTATCTAACTGACCCTCCCTTTTTGGGAGGACGGAGTACGATGAACAGAATTCTCTTTTTAAAAAAGAGAGAGCGAGAGAGAAATATGGTATTCCCTACGTTAACTGACAATTTCTTTCGTGTATACTCAATCGTTTGTTGCAGTGCTATCCGCAGGTAAAGGACCTCTCACACTTTAGACTCTATATTGCGACATAAAGAACAATGGTAGCAGCAAAAGACAGAGTACTGCCCAGAGCAAAGGAGGTCAGCTTCACCGGTGAGTAATTTTTCGATAGAGCTATAAATCTCCTACCCGAGCATCTTGCGCCGAAATGTTCGTGCTTACCTTGAGAACTGGCGCAAGTGTCGGCCAGAGACTCCACGGACGCCAAATAAGGATTAACATTACAGGTGTTCCCTTGGTTGCTGCATCCGCTGGATGACGTACTGGACGCGACAGAGCTTCCAGAGAGGGGTCTACCAGCGTTTCTGCATCTCCGGTTGTACCTGAGTGGCGTGAGTCCATTGCTCTCCCTACGATATGACTTTTCCTCGATCGTACAGCGGGTGGTTCGATCCTTCTGTTGGTTTTCCAGGGTCCCGTAAACGTTGTTCTTCTCCGACGCAACGTCCTCGGCCACGATCACCACCCCGACGCTGCTCTCTATTCCCTGTTCCGAGGGCATCGCGTCCTCGGTCTGGGCCTTCGGCACGTCAGCACAGAATTGGTCGAATATGGAGCCTCGATGGGAACGGGACACCAAACTGAAACGCTTCTGGAGCACCGTGGGAAGGACTACGTGATCGGTGTATCCATTTCCGCGACGAACCAGCTCGTCGAACATCCCCAGCACTTGGGGCACCAGGTCCGTGCTGGATCCTAGAAGAGCAGTTCGCGTGAGAAATGATCAATTTACTATTTTTACTATTCATTATCTTTACAGCGGAATTTAGAAATATCAGTTTGTGATTCCCAACAGTGGGATAATAGGAGCTGAATCGGTTATAAGGTGACTGGAAACAATTTCTATGGCGTTACCCTAATTAATCGTCTGCACTTGAGAAATTTAATATCTTGAGGATTGTTTCTTTTGGGTTTAAAATAGCTCTCTTGCTGTGAATCGAATCGCGAATCCGCTACGAGAAATTCCTATTTCCGACCGCAACCGGAATTTTGTTTATTGCGAATATCGCGTTTCAAGATACCGATGGCAGCAGCCCCCACGGCATTGCATACACTGGGCTCGTTTACTTGCGCACCCCGCGAAACATAACGATATTGTATAAACAAACGGGCAAGGTGATGGTTTCCAATTCCCCTTCGAGGCGGACGTGAATCAACGTGCAATGAACTTGTTCTCGGGGCAACATGTGCTCTCCGCTGCTTCTGCATTTTGCGTGGCACGGATCTATATAGGGCGATCCAACGAGAATGTAACATCTTCTCCTTAACGCACGCGTGATAAATAATTGAAATCTGACCAAGCGAAATGCATAAATCGAGACTATAATTTATACACGATTATCGTGCACGTGGAATAATGAAGTAATAGCGTCGGGGAAAGTGTTAAGTGATCATTAACATTTGAGAGTTTCAGAAATATTTATAATTATCACAGTAATACTTATCGTTTTGCTATGGTTTGCATCGTTAAAAGTCGGAATAATTTTTCTGATTTAGTTTGCAAATCAAGCAGGATTTATAACGAGGGCAACCACGATAGAACGTTCGCCTTCGGGCCAGCGGAGGAAGTTATTCTTTCGGGATTTGCAGCTGTCGGGGTACGAATGCAAACATCTTCCATAAAGAACAGGCAAAGAAAGCAATGTATATTTTTGCGCGGCGAGATTTATCGTTAGACCAATTGCCTTCGGTCGGTTATTTATGCGCGTATTGGGAAGGCAAAAAGCTACTATAACAGGCGTTAGCTAAAGTTGTTAAGTTACCGTCTTTGAAACTGAACGCAGGAAGTGCTAAACCGGGACGTTGAAGAATTGTTTGCTGTTCCTCTCGATTCCTTTTATTTTACGAGAGGGACTGTATGCTTTTAGAAAACTGTGCTGAATTTCAAAGAATTTATTAGCTCGTTGCGGATGAAATGGCGGACTTCATTGTCCCGAATATCAGATTTATGCTGTCTCGAATGAAATTGATAAATGAACAAGTCGGTTCTCAAGCGATAAAGGTACCACTTGGAAGAACAAACAGCTCCTGTATAAGAGACTTCGGTTCTGTCACATAACACCAAGGACAAGACCCTCGAAAATACAAGGCACTACTCCTGGGACAGCCAGTAGTAAAACGCCACAATGTGCTTCTTGAAGATAAAAAAAAACGATCTAAATGTCACCGTGGGCCGTTCTTCACGGTGCCGTGGCCGAGGTTCAGTGCACTTGTGCTCAAGCCGATTTCCAACTTTTCCCACGTCCGGGCCCGAAAACCAAGAATCCTCGACGGTATTCAAGCCGAGAGTTTCCTCTCGAATTGGAGCGAGTCGTTCGATCGTTACGAACGATCATATCGTTAGCAAATCGCTGATTTCTAAATTATTTTCAGGATCTCATAACCGTGGAAGTACGTCGCTCAGAATGGTCGACGTGCATGTGTTTGTGTGTGCGTGCTGCTCGCGGGACGATGGAAAACGGGAGCCACAGCGGAGCAAAAGGCCGAACCGTGTCATCGGTTTCTAACGTGACAGGCCGGAGGAAGCCGGTGCGCACGCGAGGCCGAGACGAAAGTTGGTCCCGGTTCTATTATTAGCCGAGTTCCAGCCAAGTGCAACATCGCGATCGGGGAGGAACGCATATGGCCAGCAACGAGCGAAGCGGAGCAAAGCGGAAAGGAGCGGAGAGAGAGAAAACTGTGTCTGCTCTACGACGACAAGCGCAACGACGACTCCCGGTTCTCTTGATTCTTCTTGCCACGCTCGCTCTGTTCTTTAACAGAAACACGCTTGTTCCTTCATCGAGCTTAATTACTTCGTTCAGTTAGAATTTTCGTCCATCAAACTTGTTGTCGTGAAACGCAAATGACAGAGGGGAACAGAACTTTGCAACGCAAAAGGTTCCTGCAACTATTTATTTTACTTGATCAAAACGACAAATGATTACACGAAAGCAAAGAAATATATGTACTTGTACGTAGTTGGTAGTTAAAAATTGATGAAACTACACTACGTAAGCAAGCAGTGATGGCGATATTATACCAACGACAGAGCCCATAATTCTCCTATTCACCCTGTATCTGTTATACAAAATAAATTGTTAAAGTGTATAAGAATTACTTTAGCTTTTGAGGTGACAGTTATAGACAGATCTTAAGGTGGCAGTAATTGGAACATCTACCCTAGAAAGATTTCTGCCTCCGGAATAGGTTTTATACATATATCAAAATGAAATGACCACTTCGAACGAATCAGACGACTTCTAATCTCAGGTCTATCATTCCGAATCAATTTCGTCCCGAAATGGTCCTCTGAACGATCTAGTGGCCGCCAAGAGGTGTCGCCCAAAGCCATCGAAGTCTCCGATCGTTGAAAAATCACAGGCTGCACAGCCACCGGGAAAAGTTAAGTGTCCGTGAAAGTGTGCTACTGATAAACGACCTCTCGGAACAATTCACTGACCCGCTGGTTTTTTGTTCCTGCCCGGAGCCACCTTCTGTCCCGTAATCGTTTCGTAACCACCGTGTAACGCCGGTAATCGCCGCGATAAATACCGGTTACTTAATTGGTTTGCGGGGGCCATCGCGAGAATCGTGTCCCGGTCTCATCTCCGTGACCTTTTCGTCGGATACGGACAGAGCTGGCCCTCGATCCGTCATGGAATGCGGTCGCAGGAGCCATGTTTTCTGGGAAATGGACCATTCAAACGGATTAATTAACCAGACGAATTGTAGTTCGACACGAATCAGGATTTCGGGTCGAATTCGATGAGGCGATGGTTCGCGAAGGGGTTCTCCGTGAAATAACTGAAATCATCAGACGTTAGTTCATCCTGGAAAAACTATGATCCCATAGAAAGTCGTATGAAATACACTCTCAACTACTGGGACATTATCGAAAACGAAACGAAGTCGAAAGAAGAAACATATAATTGGACTTTGCCAGACGGATCAGGGTGTCGAGTAAAACGTACAGAAATGTGTGTATTCAGGGATTATGATGATCCTCTTCAATTCAGACGACACGGCCAGTCAGAGTCTGGATGAAAGTCCTACTCTCCATTCGGATTCAGTGAACTGCCCCGGAGAAAAACGTTGATCGACCGGCCGTGGCGCCGGGTTGCGTCGGCCAGAGCGTCGAGCAAAAATAGCGTGTACACGGGGGGAGTGATGGGGGGGACGAGAAAGAAAGGGAAACGTCCGTTCATTGACGAAAAGCAACGCGAACGACCGCTGAAAAGTCTCAAGTGGCCGGTTGCGTCTGCATGCCCGCCACGTTGCTCTGACTCACGAGAACGCAGTAGAAGCAGCAGCAACAAGCGACCACGGACGCTCGGCGTCGTTGCGGGAATGACAAGGAGCGAGGATGACTAACAAGGTCTCGCATTGAAGCTGACCAGAAAGGCCAGTGAAAATACTGGCGGTGGTAGATCGCTGGGAAACTCGCGCTTTCGATATGCAGATGCGTCTCATTTGCCTGTGTTTAAATTCAACGCGTTACTTCGCGATACCGATCGTTGCGATCCTCCTCCAGGGATTATAATCGTCGCTCATTGTGTTTTAAACCGTAATATTTCTCACGGGATCGGTTGGTTGATTGTTTGTGACGGATAAATTGCTATCAGGGTAATGAAATCATCGGTGGACTGTAATAATGTTTATTGTTTAGTTAATTATCGGTGGTACTTGATACAGTCGGTTGTAATAAATTAAGTTCCATCGTGGATCGTTAGTAGAGGCTTTGAATATCGTAGTTGAAGAGTGCACCGTGGGTTGCGTTAAGACTTAATTGCGATCGATTGTTCGAAAGAGCTTTATGTTAAAGTTTAAGGAATAATTTCCTAGCGAAACGATGTTTAATATATTATGTGGGAATGATAAGTAGATTCTACGGTGAGAAGCTCGTGTTGATAAAATGTGCTGTTCCCGCGAAGTGAAATCGTAAACGTAGCATTAATTTAAACGGTACCACGGTGATTTGAATGCGTGGTAATCGCGGAACTATTACCATCACCGTTTGATGCAACCTCAATACAAGCTTCCATCAAAACTGTACTTAAAGTTGTACTCAATCTAGAGTTAATCGAGACCTAACCTGGATACCGGTTGGATTCTAACATCCACACTTGAGAAGATAATATAGCTTCTAAAAGAATTGCAGATTAAAATGCCTATCGCTTATTCAAATGTGCTGTCCATGCTGCCTTCATTTCTTCCGTGTAATATACGAATTAGTTTTTTATTTACAAAAATGACGGTAAATACATTACTGTTGTTATTATTAGGCAACGAATAGAGTCGAATACATGTACTTTTCTGCTGTTATTACGCGAACAAAGTAGAACACGAAGGGTGTCGGATTGGTAAGACGAGGTAGTTACGAAATCTTACGCTTTCTTCGTGCACACAATGTCGAAAAAGAATGCATTCTCTCCACCGTTCAGGCCGCATAAAACGATGTAACGACGGCCACGTGCAGTTTGTTTTACAGTCTCCAGGTGCGAGGCACACTCACCGAAACCGAAGGACTGTTTTCTCGTGCTTGCGCCATTGCTGAATCAATCGCGTGACGAACAAAAGGGAATAAATTCTAGTTACCTTAACTGTATGACTAATTTTGAAACGTGCGCGCGGACAGATAGTAATATAGATTACAGGGCAGTGTGACTAGCTCCAATAATCGTAACACGACGACAAGTTTTCTGTGACTTCAGGGA